GGTGCTCTAGGTGGAGCTATACTGCTCAACAGATGGGTGGTTGCTTTTTGTACAAATGGATACTCCTAGCATGTCTGGCTAATAGACAATTAAAATTACTGTACTGCTAATAGGTATCTGTATGTTTTTAATTCGCAGGATTATGGCATCACTAAATCTGCTGAGATACTTAGTCATTAAGGATTGTGAAAGTGACAATCAAGTATGTACTATTTGATTTGAAAATGATTGATTAGCTGAGAGGTGGATTCACATGAACACTGTTATCCTTGATTCAAAAAACGTGGGTTTTGCAATTTGAAAAAATGCCAAAAAAATGCAATTTGCAAAAATGCAAAATTTGCAATTTTTTTTGCAATGATTAGTTCCCCAGAAGTGATGCTTTTATTAAGCAAAACAAACTAATCCTTTTACTCTGCCTGTTGAACTGTGATCTATGTCTATAATATTAGAGTATGTCACCACACAATCATACCCAACCAGTATTCCAAAAACAAAAAAATTGTTATTTTTGCTTATTTGCTGGTATCCCTCAAACCTCCACTTGATTTTCTTTATAGCAATAATAATACAGTAATATCATTTTCTGGTTTCTAAAGTACAGAAAAAAATTCTGATCTACTTTTAGACTAATTTCAGATCTAGGAATAAATTTTTTAAGTGCCTAATAATGTTACTAATCTAAGTAGAATAACAGTGAAATAACTTGTACTGATTGCTGAAACTGTAATGAAAATGAAAAGCAAATTAGCTTTCAGTGGGGGCATTTCTAATTTACTATTTATGTAATTAGTTAATATTGGTAGACTGTATCTGTTTGTCATATTTAAGGGTCGATTACTATTTAAGTGCTCACAATGGTCTCCTCAGTTACATATAAATACATAGCTTTGTAAGAAAAGTAAGAATTCCTCTTTTCTTAATAAAAAACTACATGTAGTAACATTCAGCTGCTCTAACAGTGCTGTCTAGTACCTGGCAAAAAGAATGTCCTTACAGTTTGAGGAAAAAATAGCATCACATCTTCTGAAAATTTTCCCTTGAATTTAGCCTGTCAGTTCTTCTTGACTTCCTCCCTGTCTCTCTTCATACAGTGCAAGTGAGGCAGAAAGAAAATGCCTCCTTTCACGTCAGTTCAGATATTTTGATTGCTGTGTAACAAGCATTTTCATTAATCAAGTTTAAAAATAAGTATTTTTCTGGAAAGTTCTTTTTTTAGCCACATTCTGGTGGAAGTAATTACCGCTCTTGTTATTTAAACCGTTAACTGTGTCATTTAGTATTTAAATGTGGTGAATTTTCCACTGTTGTTAGTGGACTCACTGTATTTAACATTGAAAATTCTTATTTTTATCATCCTTATTCTGCCCTTTGAGGATACTGCCTGAAGAAAGGAGTTGTATAAATGGCTCCTATATCCAAAGACACAAAGGCTGCTTTGTATTTGTTTCCTTCTACAGCAGTTTGTAGCAAACCCAAGCTTATTTTCCTCTCTGTGACCCTAAACAGCCTTGGTTTTGAGCATCTTTTCCTTGCACCTTCTGCTTCCTGAGTGCCATTATTTAAACTCCTTCTTTCTACCCATCTCAAACTGGGGAGAATTTCACTGTCACTGTGGCTACCATGCTGAAGGATGGAAGAGTAGCAGATCCAGTAGCATTCTTACAATGCTTTTAAAATGCAATATAGACATTTGGGAGGCATGGTATTTATCACAATTTTCATTTGGCATTGCAATACAGTGTTAATTCAGGAACGTTAATTTAAATATTTGTTCTGGTTTACTGCTGAATTATCTGATAGGAGCCTACAACTGCCATTTACTTGCTGCAGAAAAAGGCCCTAGAACCTCCCTTTCAACACATCAAGATTCTTTCAGCTTTGCTTACAGGATCAAGCTGAAAATGTGCATTTCCATTGCTGTAGTTACCAGTCTACACACTTCAGTCCTCCCTCTCTCTGCACCCTTTTTTTTTGACTGCTTTATTGGCCAACCAACAAATAACATAAGCGAGAAAGAGCAGTTTAGACATCCATCACAATGCTGTTCATGCTTAAATGCATGAGTCTGCATTACTTTTCTTTCTCTTTTCCTCCTACCACAAAAGTGTATGTTATAAAGACTAGTCAAAAAACTTGTGCTCAAAAGCTTAGTATTGCAATGCTTCATTAAAACTGTTTTATAACCTTCTCTGTTCTGTTTGATTAGACTGGTGTATGGACCACACTTGGCAAGATAGAGCAGAATTTCTTAAAACCACTGCGTGTAGGACTCAATATGTCAAGAGCACACTATGAAGCAGAAATAAAAAATAAGAAAGAAAACAGAAAAGGTCGGTTTTTGTTGCTTTTTTGTTCTTATCTTTATTCATATCTAGAAACTTTGGTAATCCTTTGGAAATGAGGAACTGGTGAATGCTGCATAGATCAGGTTTTATTGTTGTCACTATTCTAAACTTCAAATAATAATTCAGTAGTTGCTGTATTAAAAATTTTCATAATTGGGCAGAAAAATCTGAATTTATCTGTCATCACATTTGTGAATCTTATGGAAACCTGATAGAACTGTCAAATGAAGACCTTCAGAGCTTGTTCTGCATTTATACTTTTGATTTTAATGTTACAAAGGAGAAACATAACCCTTAGGTTTCCTACCAGGTGTGGGAGGGTTAAAGAGAAAAAGTAAGTCACAGTGCTCTCTAAAGCCTGAAGCATTATGTTCATTTCTTTAATACTTTATTTTGTTTTAATCTGACACACAGAATCAGATTCTGCTCTGGGTTAAGCAGACACATTGCATGGGGCACAAGAGCTGTAGCTGCTTTAGGCAATCTCTCTGTATGTCAGATCCTCTGTTCCTTGTGGTCTCCAGTATAATTAAGATAGCCCAAGGAATTTGTGTCTGCTACTAAAAATGTCAATACAGCTTTTTGCCCCTAGTCTTATCCTCTTCTGTTGCAAACTACGTACTTAAGAGGCAAAGAAGGGGATTTTTTTCTCAAGACAACCTGTGGATATCTTTCTAAAGGAAATCCTTCAAAATTAATCAGAAAGCTTTTTTCTTAAGTCCCTCTTACACTTCTCTAGCCTTCAACAAAGTATAAAGAAATCTGAGTTTGGGAGAGAACATCTGACTTGCAACACTAAATGGTTTAGCTTTCTTCCCTAGTGTTTAATCTTTGTAAGCATTACATTGAATTTCAAATATGTGGTCTGAATGTAAGAGGTTTTCCCCTTGTTTTTCAGACCTGTCCCTGTAGTTTAGCCTGCTGCAAGTAATCTGTTGAAACAGAGAAGCCTGCAGCCTTTTCTTAATAAAATAAGTATTTAATGTCTGGATTCATTAAGTCAAGCTAAAGAACCTCCTAATATCTCCCTGGATGTGGAAATACTAAAAATGTATCAAAACCAGGCCAGAGAGCATTCTATTTTTCCTTTCAAAGAGCATGTGAGCTCTATAAAATTGGTTCCAGTTGCAGATCTTGCCTGTTGAATGATGTAGGCATTGGTGTTATACAACGTATAAAGATATCATCCAACTCCATCTTCCTCTTAAGGTTCAGCACCCTCTGTTATGTGTTTAATCTATACCTAGGTTTCTGTTCTTAACAATTACTGTCATGAAATGCTGGTATTTTAAATATTCTTTTAATTCTAAGTCATGTTGGTTTCTTCATGTTTTCTTCTACAGAGGCACACAGTTCTGACACAGTTTGCTCTGTTACTGTTAGTGGGGAAAAGATGCCTCCCATGACTACTGGAATGCAGCTTCAAGTGAGTTTGCACTTCCCTTCAGTCACTCAGAAGTATTGACTTTTTTTTTTCAGAGTGGAGATAAAAGAAAATGTAAAATGGGTAAAAAATAACCTAATAAAAATAACACTCATCTTTCTTGTCATTTCAGGTTTTGCATTCAGCTCTCTTCACGTTTGATTTAATAGAAAGTGTTCTAGCTCGAGTAGAAGAACTCATTGAAGTGAAAACAAAAGCTGTAATGGATGAAAATAGTTGAGGCAGCTGAAGTGTTAGAATTAAACTCCTGGCAAGATCATTTGTACTATGGGGCTTCAGCTGCAAGGGAGGCTATGGCCCTTTAAAGAAGAGCAATTTAGAGTGGCCTCCAGAAGAACTGCAAATGCTGCTCCTCATAAGTCTTGTTGCTGTTCTTTTTTATTTTATTTTGCTCTTGTTGCATGTGATTAGCAGATACGATCTATTTACTCCTCTTCAGAATTTGGTGCTTTTTTCTTAAGTTTAGAAACTAAAAGCAGAGGTGTGTTCTTCTCTGTGGCAAGGAGGGATGGTTAGGCATTTATTTTTTTTAAATTTTCATAATTTGTTGGGTAATAGTTGCTGACTGGTGTTGTGAATTACAAAGATTTTTATCAAGTGATTGAAGAACTATTAATTAAGAAGCGTAAGATATTTTTATTAGCACATTATAATGTTGACAAACAAGCTTCTCTATTTGCAGACAGGACTGTAAGGTACAGAGAGATAACAGTATAGAATATACTATCTATAAATAGTAAAAACACTGTGGCAAAGGAAAACAAGTTTAAAGAAAAACACATCAACTTTGAGCCAAGTAAGATGTTAGAACTTAGTAACATAACAGATAACACTTGTGTTAAAAAACATTTTAAGGCTGCATACATACAGCTGCTGTTTCTAGGGATACCTGTATTTTGGAATTATTTTGATCAAACTTATCTATAATCATACAGTTTTCCTTAAGATATAGTAAATGTTTTGGGGAATTATTAATAAAGAGATGAATCTCTAAGGTCAGAACCAAGTTAAAAATAAGGATGACTTTTCTATAGTGCAGCTAAACCAACTTTCTTTCCCTCCCTAGAAAGCACATTTGGTATCCAAGTATGCTGTTTTTCACTGTATAGCTGTTAAACATGAATTTTCTTTCCAAATGCATATGTTGTATGTAGTCTTTTGAAATGTAACTATATTTTTAAGAACACTTTATATTTTGTTTAAAACGTAGCCACTCTAATTATGAATAAAAACCAAATATTAAATTAATTACAGTGCGATTGGTACTCTTGAAGCATCTTCCAAACTGGACTTTTTTCTATTATTTGGGCTTTTGTCATTTCCATTTTGCAACGAGTATCATCTGCTTGTGGCTTGGAAGTTATCTTGGAGAAAACAAAAATAATATGAGTATTATAGAGTGACTTTTAGGTAGTAGAATATTCAACGTTTTATTTTTCCAATAGCAGAAACTCAGAGTTATTCAGCAGTGAAATCTGAATCGTGTGTTCTGAAGTAGGTGTTCAGGAATGCTGTACACAGAGGTGAAATACTATATTTCAACAGGAGTTAACAGTAAATGAAGACATCCGAACTTAACAAGGGTAAATAGGAGCCAAACAAGCTCTTACCTAATTTTGTTTCTTAAATGCTATTAAGAGCTGTTACGTTACCTTGAACAGTAGTTTAAAGACCCAGCTAATGCATCAGTCCTACCTTAGTGTATTAATGGATTGTGGTCAGTATTACCTAAAAAGTTCCATTAAGGAAAACCAAGTATTTTATAGTTTGTGGCTTTTCCTGAGTAATACACTAATACTTTTAAGTGTATGCAACTGGACTTACCTTAGCCATAGTTAGCATTAATTTAACAATTTCAGCAGGATTATGAACTGGTATTACACGTAAATTGCTGCCCAGGAATCTGCACATCAAAATAAATAAGGTTACTTCTAGAATATGTATTTAATTTGTTCTGCCATGAAACTCAAACAGCATTCCCATATGATGCAAACAGCTTTTTAGTGTGCAGTTTTACTTACAGAGAAGGCTGCTTTTATCTTGAAAGGCAAGTGCAGCATTCATGCTGTTTGTAAAGCCATCTGTCCCATTTCTGTACCACTTATTTAGGTTGGATTTGGAAGGGCTCATTTCTTTATCTAGGTCTCTTCAACAATCAATCAGCACTTCTTAAGCATGTGTACATTCAGAGAGAGCTAAACCCTCTTCTGTGATATTGCTGAAGACTCTTTGCAGTGGCAGTAAAAAATATTTAGGTTGTTTTTATGGCTGTGGAAGAACACAGCAAAGTACCCAAAAACAGTGTGCTAAAAATACTTCAGAATTTGAACTAAATCTTTGTTGTGTACTATAAATAAAGCAACCCATATTCTAGGCACGATTAAGATAATGAGATAATTCCACTACTTTCATGTAAAGACTTGTTCACTCAATGCTTTAACCTAAAATGAATTCTTTCTATAAATAGTGTTATTCATATGCACTCATTTTTGAGAAGGGGATCTGAAGATTTAAAATAGTAGCATGAGTTGTCATTCAGTGAGGTTATGGAAGAGAGACATCAAAGCTTAGGCAAATGCAGAGCATCTCCCCAGGAACTGCACCTTAAGTGTGTTGTAGCAATGACGTTACCTTTGCTGCTGTTTTCTGTCGTAGAGCTAAAACAGGAGAGGGACTTCACAACAAAGAATGAGGAATTTTAAATAACCAAAATGAATTTAAATAATGCAGATGAAGTGCCCAGCTGCTCGGTTGCATAGTCCCCTGTGACCTCCCCTTGTGCCTGCCACCTGTTCTTCCCTGCAATCTGTCTGATGACTTGGACTCATTCACATTAAGACCTCCTGCTGGTAAGGTATCTCATCTGAACTTGTCTGCCAGCTTCTAATTAGCAAAAATAAATGTTACAGGCACTGTCCTTCTCTAAGCATAGGCACTCAGGTCCCTGGTGAGTTTTGCTAAAATGTGATGTCAGAACAAGGATTGGATTTACATGTAGAAACTAGGGAAATAAATTGGTACAATTTTGCTAATATCATTCTAATATTAGTAAAATTGTATCCAATTTTTTTCCCTAAACAAAGCACGACTTAACAAAATGCAACAAAGAAACAATTACATGTACTTACCTAGATCCATGAAAATCTATTTCTGTAATTAGTTTTGCTTCCAATAACAGCAGGTCTAAATTTAGTGTTATTAATTTGATTGATGGACAGAATACTGGGCATTTGAACATGTCTGGCCTTTCCTTCAAGGTGTTTAAAACTTATCATACAGATGCACTGAGGTTATTTGTGGAATGCTCATTTAAGTTGTGATGATAAACACTACTCTTCTGCCACTACCCCCATACTATACACAACTCTACCTAAAGTATTCGTGTTGTTAAAATAACTCTGTAGTTTTCTTGTTAATAGGAATAAAAAATAATCCTTCCTAACTGCAGCAAAACCGTAGATAAGCAGAAAGAAGCAGTAATAGAAGACAACCTGACAATACTAAGGGGCTTTGTTTTTTAACAAATCCAACAGGTGGCTTGTACTTTCAAAGGGGCCATGGCATAAGTATCAACCCCACCAGGAGAAGCTGAGTCAGTGATTTACAAACAATAGCAGAACTTCAAGCTGCCAGGTAGGAAAAAAAGCACATGCATTTAAATATATATATTTATATATATATAATTGTTCCTTGGCAACATCAATTTGATATCACTTGCAATGAAAAATTTTTTAATAAAATTACTGACTTGCCAAATGGAATACAGTTCCAAAACATCACATTATAGTGATCAGCATGTGCACAAAACCCATTGTACATAACCACAAAGCAGATTGAGAATTAGCATTTCCATTACCTGAATAATGTGGTCTTGCTGAATGGTGGCTAAACTTTTAAAACCTCTCATGAAAATTTACAACATTTTCACAAACAGGTAATAGATTTCTCACATTTCATCTCATACACTATTCACTCATCAGCATTTGGCAATATGCCCAGGATTTAATGAAACTGGTGCTAGTTACCTCGAGGAGGTAAAGATCAAAGACATCATTAAGACAGTCACTTCTTTGAGGCCAAGAGTGACAATCAGCTGCAGTTAGGGCTACTGTACCTACAAGAAAATAGTTCTTACTACAAGCATGGAGCATAATCTGATCACTGTTGTCAGCAGGTATGTACTAAAATATGCAAGTTTTCAGACTTCATTAGAAATCAGAGACAGAAGCTTCAAACAAACCAGTTTTAATATTGTTTTATACTTTTGGTGTAAAATAACATTAAGTATTTAATTGTTCTAGCAGTGTAATAGATACTGTTCCAAGTAAACATTTTAAAAGCTGGTAAAAAATCTGCACTTTACAATAAAGCCCTTTCTCATGATGTAAACTTGCCTGTTCTGTTTTGAAAATGACCATATATGATTTGAAAATATGATTACAGAGCTAAAACATTTGTCTGATTTTTCCAATTCGAGAGAAAACTTTAAAAATAATTATATTACATAGCCTTAAAATGACTGAAAGGAATCTTATTTGCTATGTTTGAGGAACATCCTCTTTTGTTACCTGTGATATGTCAGATTGATTCATTTGGCATTCTTTTTATTTGCTATAAATAAACAAATGCTTAATTTTTTTTTTTTTTACAGTGCATTAGTAAAATAAAATTTGTGTATTCCTGAAATAATTCACAAAGGGTAAGGTTGGAAAGGACCACAGTGTGTCAACTCCAACCTCCCTGCTCAAGCAGGGTCATCCTAGAGGACACTGCACAGGATTACATCCAGATGGTTCTGGAATATCTCCGGTGAGGGAGACTCCACACGCTCTGGGCAATCTGCTCCAGTGCACAGTCACCCTCACAATGAAGAAGTTCCTCCTCATATTCAGGTGAAATTTCCTGTGCATCAGTTTCTGTCCATTGCCTCTTGTCTTATTTATTCCTAAAATACTACTTCCAAATCCAAGATAGTTATTTCATTTCTTCTTAGCAATATAAAGTTCAGTTTCATGTTGAAATCATACCTTCTCTGAATCCTGAACATGACACTCCATTCTTCTGGTCCATGAAGAGCAGCTGACAAAACCAAAAAGCTGTTCCGATGGATGCTTATGAACTTCTGAAGTCTTTTGGAAAACTCTTCTTCCCCTGTCCTAAGCAAGTCTTGAGTGTCTGACAGCATAAATGCAATGCCTATTGAGGAAACTGCTGTAAGTGTACAGGTCAGGGCAGTCATGGGATTAAGTTCTCACCACAAACTGGGAAGCACAGATCTTAAAGCAACCATTAGTTTAAAATGAAATGGAACAGAACATGAATGAATTTCCACATCTATGTCAGGGAGATTTGGCCAGTGATTATTAGTAATTTTAAGATAAAACTACAAATATATCGGGTTATTTTTCTACCATAACATCAAAAAAACAACTATTCAATCCACTCAAAGTAGACACACCTGAATGCCTTTGAGAGCACATGCTTCAGAAATAAGCAACTGCTATAATGGAATGAATTTGAGGCAAATGCAAAGGGTGACTGAAAAGCTTAGGAAGTTCTGTTTCTAAATAAAACAGTTGTAAAATCTTAAAAGTTAGCTAAACTGTTTACCATGAAAAATGAACTTAGAGCTCTGTCAGTTTAAGTTGTTCTGAAAGGGAAAGTTAAAAAGGCTGAAGTTTAGGAGGCTTGACAACTGAGCATACAAAACTCTATCTCACTGTGTGCTAGCCTTTAAAGGCCAGGAAAACTGAAGTATCTCATCTACATGTCTAGAACATCTAAAAAGGAAAAAACCAGCTATTTCATATTTACAGTTTCAGTGATTTCCTAATCAAATCCATTCAAATAATCCTTTCCTCACCTCCTCTGCTACCACCAGCTGTGCAAATTCAACTTGGAAGTTGAAAGCCAAAGATGTTGGTTCACTCTTACATTTACAGCCATGTATACTAAAAATTTTGATGGCAGCTTTGGTATTTAGCAAGGTTGCTTAAACACAAATTTACTGAACAGTTCAGCTGATGATAACCAGATCTCATGTAGCTGTTCTATAACACATCCAAAAAAATAAAATACAATGGAAGTGTTCAATCCCCAACATTATCTGTTTCATCCTCAGATTTACACAGAATCATAACACGGCTCCTTCCACTACTGCACGACATCCCAACAAGGCAGATTTTATTCAGTTTAGTGTAGTCCTCAACTGACTGGCCTGATTCTGTACTTCTTTGGATTTTATGATTTATAAGCATAAACTTTAAAGTACTGTACCAGAAAGTGGAAAAATCACAGATCCAGTTTCCACTGATTCTGAATATCGAACTCGGTGTTGTTGCCTCTGCAGAACTGTAGAAATTTCATGATCCTAAATAAATTTTAAAAGGTTATTTTGAATAGTTTTCAGCCAACAAGTAAGAAATATTCTTAAAGCATCAGATGAACCACTATGACCTTTGGCACTGTTGTTAAAAAAGTATTTTTTATTCCACTTAAATACGAAAATGTTAAACGTGATAAATTAAGGAAATTTTGAAGTATTTAATTGGAATTACAAACACTGAATAACAATTCTGTATGTGTACGTTCAGTTTGTCTCAGGAAACTCTTGCATAATGCATAAAGAAGCTCAAACATTTTACAGTCTGTTTTGGTAAGATGTGCTAAAGGAGGATTTGCAGAAGCGAGGATCATACAGTAGTGTGTTTCTATGACTCTGGTTAATTAGGCTGCATTATTTTCACAGATGTCAGCATCTCAGCTGGAAAATTGTTCAGAAATTCTTTATGGGACATGATTTTCTTTAAAGCTTTTTGACAGAATGTAATCCACACAGGAAAACTAGAACATTGCACTATGCAGCATAATCATCTACAGAATGGAATGTGTTTGGATATATTTTTCAGCCTGCAAAAAGCATTTCTGCAGTAAGTTCCACAGAAGCTGCACGAACACACATATATTAAAGGTTAAATCACTGAACCATTTTAGCTAATAACATGTTCTTTAACCTACCCATTCAAAACACAGCCAGCCTGCTAATATAATGAAGTGCCATAATTTAGTGGAAGAGTACAACAGAAAATCTAGATTGCAAGTGAACCTTGAAGGAGACATTAACCAGAAATGTCATGCTTTCAATTGGTCTGGAAAGGGAACACTCAGTGGCAACTGCTTGTAAAGGTTAGCTACATTTTGGAAAAAAAATTCTCAGCTTCAAAGCAACTGCTGAATTATTCAATGTACAAATATAAATAACAGCTGTATGAAAATGATAGCTCATAACCAAAACTAATACAGAAAAGCCATCCTGGATTTGCATTCAGTTACCTCCATCACTTTGCTTATGGGGAGCCCTTACTAACAGCAGTAGTTTTGACTATTGCTGAGGGTAGGAGTGAGTTATCCTGGTAAAGCTGATGAAATCACTCCCACCATATTATGGCACAAACATGCACAGTTTACAGGCTGTAAATTCCAAAATGAGCAGGCAAGTAAGTATAGGCTTTAAACCGAGGCGATTCAGGAATTACTTTAACAGGGCTCACCCACTTACACAATGGGCATGGGGTGATAAACGTGTCAACCAAACTAGCGTAAGACATCCTTGCTTGTGAATCAAAGCTCTCTTGCCTCTCAATTCTCGCCAGCTGGCATGAAATTAGCCTCAGCTGCAGAAGATAATTACCAGCTCCTTAACATACCCTTTCACTTTACATGGGAACAGAGTCAACGCTTCTGACGTTAACAGATAAAATATCCATTAATATCTGTAAGAATCAGTATTTTAAACTGAATTATGTACTTATAGAGTAATTGTCTATCCCCATGTTGATACTGTATAGGAAAAAATTAAAGTATTAAGGGAGGAATTCAGAAAATTCAGCAACGTTTCTGATGGAATTATTTATAGAGCAAATTGAAAGAGGCATCAGTGCAGTGCAAAAACGATGAGTCAGGAGAATGTCCTAAAGCAGTGTAACTCAGAATAGCAGGTGGCAAGAATACTAAATAGATATGGAAGTAGGTAGGAGAAAATACAATTGCACACAAAAAGAACCAGTATTCTAATAGAAGCAGCTTCAGACTAATATCTGTTTCATCCTGAAAAAACTGTCTTCATTGACCCTGAATAAAATATTTCCATTTACAGAATATAGGAAATTCTTCTTCCAGCCTCTCCTAATGAGTCAGATGCTGGTCTTGACAAGCGGTATCCTACCTGCAGAGCTGTGCTCATAATGACCGTGGTTATCCACCTTGTCTGCTCCTGCCCGCAACTTCCTGCCATTTTTTCAGTGGTTTAATAGCTCTGCAGTGAGGTGCCACTTCTAAAAGTTTGGGAAAAGAGAGACGACAAATATTTCCTGCCAGTTAACGAGGCGAGATGTCTGAAGCACACAGAAGAGCCGATTAAAAACCAGCGGAGCACCGGCAGGAGCGAGAGGCGGCCCCGAGCCTGGGCCTAGAGGCTCCCGTTATTGCGCCAGCTGCTCCCAGCGCAGCCTTAGCCGGACCCAATGCAGCCTCAGGTGTCTCCAATTCCAGCATCAGCCGGTCCCAATGCCACCCTCAGCTGTCCCCAAACCCAGCCTCAGCCACCCCCAATGCCACCCTCAGCTGCCCCTTCCCCGGCCTGGAACCTGTCCCGGCGCTGGGTTGGAGGGCGGCAAAGCGGGGCCCGGCGGCGGGAAGGGAGCGGGGCCCCCCTCACGCTCAGCCCTCACGGGGAACCGCGCCGCGCTGGAGCCCCAGCTCCGGGGAATGCTCCTGTGGGCCGAGAATTCTGCAGCTGTTTCTGGGCAAGAACAGGCCAGGTTATTTTCTATAGAAGTTACATAAACACGTAAGTTTCACAGGACAAAAATGCGAAAGTGTGAGAAAACACCACCTTCAGTGTAAAAGAAGTACCGAGTGTGTTGAAGCTTCTTTAATCAAGTAAGAGGAAATAATATTTCAAGAAGAACTGGGATGCTGAACCATTAAAAGCACTGCTATCCAGCTCTGCTCTTTACTCAGACATGAGTCTAGCTTCTCATACTATCTTCTGAAACGGGTATTTTTACCAAAAATCAGACATTTTACTAAAGGTTTTTTTCTTTTCAATCACTTTTTAGGGCATTTTAAAATATAAGAAACTAACCTCATTTGTATATATTTAAAAAATTCTATACATTTGTATAGCAATGTTTTGGGTTTGCATAGAAATAATTAGACATTGCAATAATTTAAAAATTACTTTTCTTCTTTTTCTTCCAGACAAGACATGGATTCACATCTGATTTCCCTCTCCTGTTGGTCAAACACGCCCAAGTTAGAGAAACCCTGCTCTGCAAGGGTTTTGAAATGTCATGCTACATTACATAGTAAGTAAAATATTTCTAATACTGAATTTTTGAGTATCTGTGGAGTATAAATGGAAAAGTCAGCAAATTAAAGGAAAATAACAGATGTATTGGGTATCCCAGCTTTAGTGTTCCAGAGAGCAGTGACAGGACCCTCAAACTGAAACCATGTTCTGTAACACAGTGGAACCATGTGCTCTGACTGCACAGAAAAATCAGGGACTCAAGAACATCAGGAATTACTTTAGTCCAATTATAAAATAATGGAGCAGTTTTATGATGAGGATTGGTGATCCTGCTAACATTTATCAATATGAATTTTGAATTTATGCACATGATGAATGAATTTGTTTCAGTACTAGACAGGGATAAAGAGTAGGAATTGCTTTGTGTTTGTGAGGGGGTAGTACTTGATCTATAACACCACAGAGTATCTGAATTAATATTTTAGATTATGTTTAATATGTACATTAATTGAATTATAACTATTTAGATAGAGAAAAAATAGTAGTAGGAAATAAAATGGAATAAAGAATGATTCCCAGAGTAAATATCTTTAACATGTGAGTAGATTTCAGTTTGTTTAGGTGTAATACTGTTAGAGATGGGCAGTACATAAAAGAAAGGATAAATTATTACGTCAAAAAAATTATAATTACAAAGAAATATGAATTTAGATTTAGGCTCCTCAGAAACCAGCAGATACCTTTTTTCTGTGATAGCCACCTACTGTGCATGAAGTTGGACACCCCCAAACTCATAATATTGCTTAAGAAGCATCAAAGTACAAAGATGCATAAGTGTGTGACAATGAGACAAACCCAAATCTTCACAGAAGATGTTTCCTATCATTATTTTGACTCCAGTTGTTTCACATTTACTTGTGTAAATTACATGTTTTAATTACAGTCAGCAAATATTTATACCAGAAGCTTAATATACTTCTGCTTGTCACCTGTGACAATAGCTGGTATTTGAAATAAAAATAGGACTCTTTCTGAGACAGAAGGCTCTGAGCAGAATGGACCCTGGACCCCGCAGTCTCCCGTGTGAGAGCTGCCCTGGCCTAGAGTTTGTCTGGGCAAGCCTGATGTAATGGGACATGCTGAGCCCCTGGACTCTGCCCAAGGGACAGTTCTGGTAGCAGTTTGTTCTGCAATACCATTTGAGTATTTCACTACTTGGCTTTCTCTTTTTTTGAGCCTGAACACTAATTAAGTGGAGCTCAGACTCAAAGAAAATAGATTTTTCTGATTTGTGTGTTCTTCAGAGCATTCTTCTGCTCAGTAGTTTCTTTTCCCAAAAGGGACTTCTGAGGGATACTGTGCTATCTGATGAGCTGAAGTTATTTTCCTACTTACTGTTCTCTTTGCTGTGACAGTTTCTGACATTTGGCTAGTCTTAGCTTTAAATCTCTTTCCCACATACCTCCATGGTGCATTTCACATACAGGTGAAGGTGCAGGAGAGAGAAAAAACAGGGCTGAGTCTGGCAGCATATCAAATATCTCCTGGAAGCAGAGTACAGCACCCCACTTAGGCAAGAATAGAACGATCTTGTGACTAGAACTTCCCTATGATGAAGATAATGGCATAAGCATTTGAATGAATAATTTATGATAAGGCAAAAATCTATCATCAAATTAGTGTTTCTCTATGCTCTCCTGGCCCATATCCTGTATGTTCTACATCAGCACTGTTGTTTGATTTTGTGGGACTGTTACTGACTGGTATCTTCCTCTCTATGTATTTTTATATGAAAACTGATTGTTGATCTTCACACACATATCACCTGTCTTGTTCTCTGATGACACAATCAAAGAAAAATCAATATTTTTCTTTAAAGGATAAAAAGGAGTGAAGGTGCACTAAACAGATGGAAAAGGAAAGTAACTTTTTTTTTGCCATTTACAGAGTACAAATAAAAATTGATGTCAGCAGTCCACAAGTTGAATAAAGTACAGTGACTCAGCATTTAACTTACACATAGGATTTATTATTTTCTGTCATACAGAAATCAACCAAGACTCTTCAGTATGTAGCATGGGGAAGAAAGGTTGTGGGACTTTGCAGCCATACAGATATTCTGGAAACAGAACACCATGTTGACAAGGAATCATTTCAAAATAGGATTACTTAGGCCCCAGCTCATTATGTAAGTCTAGAAAGCAAGCAAGTGGGAAACATGCAAGCATTCAGTTTGAGAGCTTAACACCCTCCCCTCAATAGGATTGAGTGGTCAAAATATTCTAGGACCATAAAGCCATGGACTACAGGTAGTGACTCAAACTTTTCTTCATGTGCATCCCATTATACATATATTGGATTAATCTTGGTTTCTAGAACATGATAATTCAGAAAATAGAGATTGAAGGGTTTTTTCTCTACAGATACAGGAGGAGATTTTGTTACAGGAAGTTTGACTTAGAGAATAAATAATAGAGGTAATATCCACAAACAAGAGGCCCGCCTCTATTATTTATTCTCTAATATTTATTATCTCTCTTATTTATTCTGTGAAAGTCACAAAAAGTTTTTACATTACCTACACTGAATCTGCCATGTACACAGAGTTTGTCCTATCTATATTGATCTTAAGCACACTGATAGAATTCTACTGGCAGGATGTCATGCCACACTCGAAAGAGGGCTATTTTTAAACAAGTGAAGAATGAAAATGATTTTATAAAGCACAATTGTAAGAAAGTTCAAAAATTCCTACATAAGGATTGCATAGGTGAGGATATTGTAGGTTAAAGCAAGTTGGTGAGATCGGACTCAAAAGTGTTCTCATGTAAGGTACATGACCCAAAATTTTTAGAACAGTAACTAGTCTTTCTGTCCAGACAAATAAAGTGATCTTTATAAATGTGCATCTGATACCACTCACACTAACTTCAGCAGGAGCTGAGAAAGAGTAGTCACTGTCACTGAGTGCATAAATACAAAGTGTGATGGACTGCCTGGATAATTGGGCTGAGCCCCAAATTTGTACATGTGAACCTCTGTTGAAGTTCACCTGAACAGAATGTGCACTCCAGTCCAGTTTTACAGATGATACTTACAATCATCATTTGCAATTATGCAAACCCTATTTTGACCATCAGTGTCCTTGTTCAATGTGTCTAGTTACTGAGCTGTAGTCAGCCCCTCCAGATACTGAGGTTTGAGTTATTGAAGACGTATTCATATTTTACTGTGCAATAGAGAAAGAACTTTCTTTGCGTGTAATGCAAAAAGTTAGATTCTTAGGACTTTGATTTCTCTAACTGGACAGTCTTCTGAGCAATCATTTAAGGAGAACAGAGAGAGGAGCAATTTAATGGAATTCCATTTTAATTATTTCATATTTTAACTGCATCTAGATGGTTCATCAGGATTAGAATCTCATTAAATTGAGTACTGTATAAAAACACAAGTATGCACAGTGCCTGCCCCCAGTGTCAGCTCCATTACCCTCTCTGAAAAGAGAATGTCAAGCTGAAAGCCAATCTGCAGATGTGGCTGTGGATTCACTTCTGTGTTTGCAGAACTGGGGCTTAACGGAGTGTACAGTGCAGATTGCAAAGAAAAGCATGAAAGGAAAGTCAAATGCAAGAAATAAACAGGTGTGTGCGCACGCCTGCTCCATGTAGCTTCTTCTGGTTTTAGTTACTAAATGTAAAAAGCCAAAGAAATGACCAAACTCAATATTCTTCCCCAGCTGATATCCAGTTTTTAGATAAATCACTTTTCTCTGTTACAGGTTTAGTTTCCTTAAACATACAGTAGTTGTCAATAGGAAGAAGCTAGGTTTTAAAATAGCTAAAGAAGACATCTGAGCTGTAATTTTTCCAAAGCTGAACATTAAAGCTTATCTAAAAAAAATATCGCACAGAGCTTTTGTTCAAGAGAGAAAGAAGAAAATCAGTATGGATTTTCTGCAAGAGATGAAAGCTTCTAATTATAGTTGATTTCAGATCTAAAAGCCCATTTCCAGAGAATCATCTGTTGTAATAAAGCTGCGATATTTCTCATTTTATCTTTTGTCCTCAGTTCCTCTATAGTCCTGGCAAGAACATCATCCATCAATGTACAAATGTTAAATCACCCCAGTCATGAAACATTAACAGAATGCATACAATTATGACTCCTAAATTGAAGTCTTTCTAGCTAGTAATTTGTCATACCTACAATTGTACAATATTAATAGTAGAGTAAAACTCGAAAACTACGTAATAGATACATTGGAAAAATAGCATTTCTAGTACATGCATTAATATAGACAAGCCCTGAACCTGATTCAGCTGAGGTCAGCAAGAGGTTTTTTTGACATTAGTGAAAGCAAAATAATGAATTCCTAAATGTCTTGGTTCTGAGCAACAGATGAACAACATAAGAGCAGTTCTTAATTCCTTCATGCAAAGGTTTAGGTTTTCTGGAGCAAAGTAGAATGAGCATGCTTCCTATTGTTTTCCAGATGGCAATAATATATATTGAAATATTGAAATATATATAAAATAGTCTCCTACAGTATGTACCTAGAACAGGTAAGTGATTTTTTTTAACATATTCCCTGAAACAAACTGATAGACAATGCTATGGGAGCACATCCTAGGGACAGTCTTTGTGAGAAACATGGGAAATTCTCTTGCCCGAGTTCTTACAAAATTATAATAAAATTTTCCATCTCAAAGATTGAGTATAATTTTGAAATAATTTAAAACCTTAAAAAGTATGGAATAAGATTATTAAACATGTACAGTTCAGTCACATGTCATCCAGAACTTAACATTGCAAGCTAGCCATATTTCTTGTACTCAATTATTAGTATTTCCCAACAACACCTAAAATAGTTTTATCATAGCGAGAATAGTTTAATCTCAAATATTTGTTTCCCATGAGCATTGTGTTTCTACCTGCTTACTTTATTCTCATTTTATATGCTATGGATGTTGATGAGGCCCTAAGAATCTGATCTAACTTCGAAGTTACCCCTGCTTGCAGTAGGAGGTTGGACCACACCTTTAGAGGTCAGTTCAAGCCTGCCTTTTCCTGCATTGCTATGATTTTTCTGCAATTTTTCTGTAATTCTTTGATTCTAGACGAAGCTTTTCTAAGGGAAAAACGTATGAATTTATAAAGTGTCCTTTCCATTACCCCTATGCCACAAAAGCAGATGTCTGGGTTTTTTATGCACTTATCTGATCACTTGTAGCAGTCCAGACTGCCTGCTGATCTCATTTCATGCTTACTTATCTCATCTGATCTTCACTGTGTGTCTCAGCCTCTGCATTTCTTTTGCTACACTATATAAACATGGTATAATCTCATACACTGAAAAAGCAAACCAAAATATATTATTAACTGATCTGCTTTTCTAACTGTTGTTTCTCTCTTAGTGGTTAGGCTCAGTTTCCTTCCTGCAGTTCTGTCAGGCTCTACCAAACTGCTATCTGTTGCCTTTGACTCTGTGGGCCAATCTCTCATTTTGACCATAGCCCCTAGGAACACTTTCCTAATCAACCTCAAAACTGATATTTTACACTCATCTGCCTTGTGGGCTATGTCCAATGAAGCCAGTGGTGCAGTTTTCCTGAAATACTTTCATTCTCATTTGACTCTTGCCTCCATCTCTTTATTTTCTTTGCTCTCCTAATTTATTTTTTAAAATAGATTATTTGGAAGAACTTCCCCCTTCCTCACTTGCCTTCCCTTTTCTGTCTGCAGTACGTTGGTGATTTACTCCACGAATACAATTTTAGCTATTATCTGTATGTAAAAACCCTGCAGAGCTGCTTCTCCAGTCCAGATTAGATTTAAGTCATTACCTGAGAGTGATTTCCAAGTCCTCTCCTTTAAATTTCACTGATAGTTTACTAAACGTGGTGTTACTCTGTAGCATACAAACATCTTTGCCTATTCACAGAACAATCTAGGTAAGCTGTCACTTTCACATGTTACCTGCAACCTGGTCTTCTCAGGCTTTGACAGAGCAATTTCACTGCTCTTATTCCAAATACTGCTGCAAGGGTAGTATTCTGACTGTGCCATCTTTTTAGTTTTCTGACTGATGCCCTTTCACGGTTTCATCAGATGTATCTCCCTTGTCTCTGCTTTACGGGTCTTTCAGGACCTCATAATCACTATTCACTTGTACCCCATGGTATCAGTTTGATTGTTTCTCTATGAAGTCTTCAGAAACTTTTATCCATTCTCTCATGTTTCGGGGAAGAGGTGAATAGTGATAAAATCACTGCCAGGATGTATGAGAAGGACTCCAAAGAACTCAAGTGACTGATACTATTAAACAAAAAGCTACCTACACCTGGCTTAAAGCTTGAACATTCAGAATGAGCTCAGGGTCAAAGAGTTTAGGCAGCACATAAGGCTGGTCAGGACTATACATTCTTCCAGCTCCCTTGTTATCCAGCCTTCAAATTTCACCCTAAAGTTTCCCCTTCTCGTAATGCCTGCAGGAGAGAAAATGACTATTTAAACTGATGATGTGCCAAAACCATTGCTAATCAGCTAGACAAATATTGACACTCTCATTTTACTTTTCCATTCATGTGCATTTTTTTTTGTCTTTTGTCTTATCTTGGGTTCTAACCACTCTGTGGGAAGTCTTTGTTTTTGCCCTTTGTTTGTACAATGTCTAGCCAGTGGGATGCTGGTCTGATTACGCCTCACAGGCACTCTAGTAACACAAATCAAAAACAATACCACTTTCTATTCCTGCTACTTCTACAGCCACTCTTTGGCTGTGGGAAGCTGCATTCTATGGCTGCCTATGTACCAGCTGAACAATACCATATCCTAATCAGCTGTCTGCTGCAAAACTGGTAAAGGAATTGTAACAACACCACTGGGGACTTGAAGAGAGAAGCTAATTTAATTTTGATACAACTGAAAAAGTAAATGCAAAGACAAAAACCACAATTAAAAAAAACCCATATGTGATTGTATTTCATACAATAGACCTGAAATTTTGTGTCAATTTTCAGCGTCACTTTTATCAATTCAGTAAGAAGTTAAAAATATGGGCAAAGTGAAAAATAGACAAAAGGATCCCTTCTATCACTTCTCCTTTCCATCACTTCATCTTCTTTAACATGTGAATGCCCACTGTCAGAATATCATCAGGATTTTAAAGTTGATTAAACTTTTTGGTAAACAGCTTTTACTTTAGTGCTTTACACAGACATTGAAAACGACTATTTCTTAGCCTTCTGTAAGACCTTCTCTTGAGCCTCATCTTTTCCTATGGCCAGTACTATAGTTCTTTATTTTAGCCAAAATATTATCACCTATTGATGTACCTTGTAAACAGTGAAGGTGAAAAATAGGTTTTCTTGATGTTTTGCACTTCTCAAGGTGGTTCCAACTTCCTCAGTACGATGACTGGGTTAAATACCACAATATTACATTTATAACATTTTGAATTACAGTATCTTGGACTATTTATGCTGCTGCTAAAAGAGCAGATGAAAGATTTTTATGATGAGACTGAACATCTTCCTTCCATGAGTTTAGAGTCCTCCACTGACATAAAGAAAATGGAAGGTTCTCCTTTTTTTCCCTTAACTTGATATTAAAGAACAAGATTAAATTCTTCCTCCATTCATTTTGAGAATAAAACAGTACTTTTACTTTTGTACCAGAAATTCAACAAAGTGCCTTGCTAAATACATTATTTTGCCTCAAAGATCTTTATTCTGTCAAATCCAAAGCTGTAACTTCTTTAATCATACCCTAGGGCAAGTTCTTACTTCCACAGAACTGAGTTTCTGACACTATGAACAAAATAAATGAGGTTTGTCAAAAAAGTTAAGGTGCACTGCTGGAATTGTGCAAAAGCTTGCAAAACTGACCATGTTATCAGTGGTTACAGTCTTAAGTTGTGTAGTAATACAGTTTCAACCAAAATAGAATGTTAGTAGCCTTTTACTCCTTCCTATATGGCACCACTTCTGAAGGCACTTCTGTTAATGACTAAGAGGAGGTAGAATACTTCCTTTTTAGATTTTAAGCTGTGTGAAAGACAAGCTCTACTGTTTCCACAATGCACATATCTTAAGAGGGTCCAACCTTTGTAGGGAAAAAACCCCTGTATGTTTCAGGAGCTATGAATTGGTAAGAATTACAAGAAGTTTCTCACTTCTTCCTGCCCTGTCAATCAGAAAAGACAATAAATCAGTCCTGTCCACATCCAAAGAGCCAAAAGCAGCAAAATGATCTGTACATCCTATTTCACTCAGAGTCAAAAAAGGTTGTGGTGACATTTAGTCTCAATTTATAAAAGTTACACTAGAGATAATAATGAAGATGCAAGAATCCTATAACTACTCCCAAAAATCTGGCATCTATGAAAACACACAAACCCAAATTCCTGAAAATCTTGCTATACTTCAGCATGAGAACATGCAAGTGTAAGTAATTAATGCCTGAAGGTAATTCTAGTTAACATCAGACTTCAGATATAACACTGACCACAACTTCAGATTGAGATGTACTTCTGGAGACATCAGACATGCTGTTTCTTAGAGCAAGAGCAACATTCTACCAACTCCTTTGAATTCATGCACTATACCATTTAAAATATTTACTTAAATATGTGCATTTTCATGAAAGAAACAGTGGTCTTATACAGCACAGACCCTCTGAAGTCTTGTGTTTGAAGAAAAGGCAATTAAAAAAATTTATTGGAAACTTCTAAACAAAACCAACCAAAATACAAAAATCAAATCTGGAAGAAACAGATGAAACAAGCTGTTCATATCAATAAGGCCCAAGGCAGATTCAAATTGAAACATTTTCTTTGAATGTAAGTATGTTTTTCTGTCATTTAAAGTAGTGTTGGCACACATCACCTTTTCACACAACCATTCTGAATCTTTATTGTTGTAAAATGAAGTCACCATATTGGGGAGGGAAGGCAAGGAGAGGAATAGCTCTACTAATAGTGCATTCATCTTTAAATTTTTGATCAATGAGAACATTAAATGTCAAATAAAAAGATAAAAGGGAGGGCAGAAAGCCAGACTTCTATTTCATGTCATCTAGTTTTTCTAACAATTCTAGAAAATACATGCTCAAAGTTCATTTTTAGAAAAGACATACATTTAAGTCTTGAAAAATTATTGTACTTGTGATTAAATCTAGATGATAAGTTAACGTATTTACCTCATTTTATCAGAAAGATTGCCTCAGTATCAAGAATTGCTCGTTCTTGACTGATGCAGTATTTCATTATGGTATGGAAACAACTCATCAAAAATAGATTTGGGGAATGGGGTGGAGTTCAGTTGCCAACAGCTGACACCTTAATGATGGGTTTCCAGTTCGAGAATTGTCCATTCCCCCTGAGGGGACGAACAGTCTTCAGATGAAAAGCTTGCCACTGTAATGCTTGCTGAGGAGTCATCAAGTGGAGACATGAGTTCAGTCCACCTACTGAATGTGTCAACTTGTGAGGTACCCTGAGGATTGGAACCATCTCGTGCCAGAAACAGTGTCTGATTGATAAGACATTGTGCTAAGTTAAGGTCTTCAGGAACAGAGTTTTTGAAATCTATATTTGAGTCCTGCACAGATAACAATTGCCTGAGTAGAGTCCAGTCCTGTTCTGCAAACTGTTGATCTTCAAAATCCATCTCTAGAACTGCTGTTTCTGAATCCATCCTCTGCTCAATTGCTTCTCCAACATCCATCTCATATATTGGAGAAAGGGTTTTTGAAGGCCGATGTTCATACATGCAGGTTTGTGCCATTGTGTCATAATCATCTATGTCTCCTGAAATAATTCACAATACTGTACAATGTAAAAATTGTAGATGATCCTCCCCTCAGGGCTGTGTAGAGCAAAATTTAATTCATTCAGGAAAGACAATCCAATCAGGTTATAAAAGAGGAAATGGAGGGTTATACAAAATTGACAAAATTTGAGGCATTTATTTCCTATATAAAAAACAAAGTATGATTTATAAATTAAGTTAAAAGCAGCAATCACCACTGGTAATTAACAATAACCTCCATAATTAAGTTTCTGATACAGAAAATGACAATGTAAATATACACTTAATGCACATGAAATTTCTCATTTACTACATAAATTAAATTTAGACCAGGAGGTGCATAGAGGGAATTAATAGAGAATGATTACTGAATGGTGACTTAAGCTATGTCAGCTTAGAAGAGAATTAAAACCAAAATTGTTTATCCACAGGCTTATTTCTACACTGCACATGCAAGGGCAGCTGCAGGCAAGGGCAAGCAAACTTAAAAAAAAATCGTACAACTTGTAATGTCTTCTTGTTCTATGGTCTGGCTGAACATAGATCATCATCAGTGTTTCATTACTCTTGAATACACAATAGTTGTAATCAACACTATTGTATATTTTTGATGGGATAAACAGACTGAATTGTTGGTATAAAGAAGACAAAACACAAAACTAGACAAGTATTCATCTAGCTACATGAAACAAGTTAGAACTTTTTTGTATATAAGCATCAGTTCTAAGTATAATCTCTCTTTTAGGAAATAAGCTTTTACTGGTAAAATTTAGAATTTTAGACATCTCATAAGCTCTAAAGCAGAGTTCAAACCTACTCCCACTGGTGTATATGGCAAATATTCAGTAATATTCAGTGGGAGAATGATCCAAATTTGTATATAATATATAAATAAATAAATTACAACAATAATGCATATAGCTGTTCAGGTAAACAGTTCAGTGCGCTTTAGTTAAGGTTATTACTTTAGTTATTGCACATCCCATTCAGACATACTATATGATGTCAAGCAGACAAAACAAATACTAAGATTCCATCAAATGCTGATGCTGTCAATGTTAGATTGGATCAAAAATAACTGAAGTACAGACAACTCCATCCAATCTTTCTTTTACCATTACATAAAATCTCTTTTCTTCTAGTCAAGTTTCTCATTGAACAGCAGGGTATTGACGGATATTTCAAACAGACAAGCATTCTCTACCCAAATGAAATACTTTAAAATATTTAAATATCGTTTCAGCCCAAATTATTTCAGTTCATGATTCAATCCCAGAAAAATTGCCAAAGCTTTCCCAATTAATTTGGTTTTGAATGACTGAATGTTTCTATTTCTGTACATTACCTGGAAGTAAATCAGTATTAGCGCATTCAGTAGTTGCTGGTTGACTGTCTCTCACTTGACTTTCCTGAGTCAGCATCTGATTCTTACTGGCTTCTACAGGTTTTGCAGAGCTGCTCTTTTGCACATCAGAATTAGTTTCTCTCTGCTGAAGATCCAGATGACATGGTCTTTCTTGAGATTTTGCATCATTGTCTAAGTACTTACTACACTGGTGAAATTCACTAGCCACCTCATTCTTCATATTTACTTGCTGGTTTTCTCCAGCCTGTGGACTACCTGCTGAATATACTTTCTCTGGGCAATTTTGTTCAGTCATTGAAGCACCTTGATTCTCCTTTCTTGGGATTTCAGTACCGTGAAGATGCAGGGGAGAACTTCCACTTTTATCTGATCTATTGTCTCCATCCTTGTGCTGTGTACCATCCAGGAATCCTCCTTCAGTTTCCAATGAGTATTTTGAATAAAATGTTTTTCCATGGTGCTCTTGAGAAACACTGTCAAATACTTCTGGAGTAAGAGAATCTACTGAGCACTGACGTGAAGTGTGAGTTTCCACTTTATCATCAGCTCCCAATTCTTCACATTCATCCACTGAAAGTAAAACAGATCGTTTGAAATTTTTCGTTTTAGAAAACTCCTGACTGGCAGTATCATTTTCTGTTGCATCCTCAAAAGCTAAGTTATCAATTCCTTGGAACTGTTGAGTAGGAACATTTGATGGGGGAAACTTTTCTGCAACGTTCTCTCCTTCAGATCTGTCATCTTCTGTTTCATCAGCAGAGGAAGAAACTTGGTCTGCTTCCTGAGTAAACTGTGCATTACCAAAAGTAGAATTTTTGCTTTCTCTAGTAGTGCTCCGTGAACTCTCTTGATGGGACCAAATTTCAGGTCTTTTTCTTGGTATTTCATCATCACTTGTTGAATTAACACGAAAGAGATCAGAACCTTCTTTTTTCATTTTCACTTCTATTCTTAGGCTGCTATCATAAATTTTTAATTCTTCAGGTGTACTTGTGTCACTGCTGCTTCGTCCAAGAAAATCATGACATAACATAGTACTGCATTTAGAAATCCCTCTTTCATTGGATCCCTCATCGTCCTGAGAGCCTCCAGCATCATAATCTTCTGATCTTGGTTTTATATCATCAGAGGATGTGGTTGCACTGCCAGTATCTGATTCAGGACTCTCTTTTGGATCTACAGCACCAGTACTCCAGTGGTCCACAAAGGGAATTTCTGCATTTTCATGGTTTTCTGGCATTTCCATAGGCTCTATAAGCTCTGTGTAATTAGGTGAATATTTTTCTGTTATTTGTTCTGTGGAACATTCTGAAGCATCGTCTGCATCTGTTGTAACTGATTTGTATTCAGTCAAGGCTGATGTATCACACAGTTCATCAACTGTAAGAAATCCTTCCACATGGATCTGAGGAGATGATGTCTCATCCTCTTCATTGGTTACTTGGTAAAAGCTTGACAAAGCACTTTCACCATAATTAAGACCTGTTTCAGAGTTTATTTTATCACTCTGTTCATTACTGGCTTTTGTTGCTTTTGAATCTTTAATCAGTTCTCCTAAAACAATAGCCTTTTGATTGGTTTCCTTGGAAAAGTCTGAATATCCATTGTTGGAAGACTGTGCATGACAATGAAATTCAGCTGTCTTATCATCTTTCTCTGGATCTTCAGTCTTTCTAATTCCAGTCTGATCTCCACAGATTTGTCTTGTTTCCATGTCATTTTGTAATGAAACATTCAGTTTATGAATAGTTTCTTCTGCAATTTGAGGAAAAGGAGATTCGGATTCTTTTTCGTATTGCACAGTTTGAGAAGAATCTGGGAGGTTTTGTTTATTGGATTGGCAAGACTCCAGCAATTTATTGTCACTGTTACTTTTTGTGGCAGGTTTTAAAGATTCATTTGCAGAATAGCATTCATTATTGTCATGAAGCTGACCTGCCACAGCATCAGCCATGCTTTTCTCAAGTTTCTGTCCTGAAACTCTGTGCTCAGAGGTGTGCACATTCTTCTGGACAACAGGAGAATCATTCCTTGAATGCTTTTGGGCAGAGGACTGAGATTTTAATACAGTTGTTTTTTGTTTTGGGTCTTTACTATTTGTACTCTCAGCATTCTTTGATGGAGCCGGACTCTTAGCTGTTATTTTTGAAGTGGCTTTTGTTACAGGTGTTTGTGATTGTTTAATACTCTTCTTCTTAGCTGAAGGGTGTTTTTCTGGGAGTGTTGTCTGAACCAGGTGTTGTATCACATTTTTTTCTTCATTATGTTTTGGAGACGTTCCTGATTTCAGTGAATTTGTCGATTCCCCCTGAGGTCCTAACAAACAGTAAAAAAGACTATAAAGATTGTATGTGCCAGTCACAGTATATTCACCAATTTAATGTTAATGTCTGTTTACGTTAAGAAACAAGTTACTCAACTTTTAGTGTAACTAAGGGATTTTAGGCTTGTTAAAGAATTAAGATTTTAAATAACAAATAGCAGACAAGAATACCATCTTGGCACCTTAAATGCAGTTCGTAGAATACACATACAGGAATCACTTCAATCTGTGAAGTAACTGGAGTAGTCAATCCTTGGAGTAGAAAGCATACAAATACTGCACAGCAGCTTAGTACAGGAAGTGATGAGTGCTGTGTTCAATTTATATTGTAGAGGAAATGAGCAGAGGCAGGAAATAATTACATTAGTTATAATGCGATTAGAATACCAGAGTTAATGTCCCTGCTCAGTCAGAAAATACTGCAAAATCTTTAATGACCACAAATTGACAGAACCTGTGTCTTCTATATCACAGTGCATTTAAGATAATATAACTTGAATATTTGAGCTCCATCCTTAATGCTTTGTATCCTTTTAAAGCAGTGTTTCCTGTCTGTGTTCTACAATGTCATTTCCTACCCCTGCTATCAGTAGCTGTTGAAATTGAGTATTTGTTTGGGGACCAGTATCAGTAGCGCTCCTGTGAGGGCAAAATGGGAAAACACCAAAATAGGGAGGCAGAAAGCAGTCTGCACTCCAGATCTTTGAGGCTTATCACAAATGCTCGACCTACAGAATTTCTGTTGAGCTCAGTCATGGTTCCAAATGCAGAAGTGCAGGGGATCAGCAAATGGAAAACTCTGCAATGCAGATTAAACAAGCAGAAGAAAACACTGACTGGCAGTGAAAACAGTCTTTTAAGTATTTTTAAGTTGACACATTAATTTGCATTTTACAGTTTAGGATTGTCATCAAAAGTGAAATCTGGAAAAAACCCAGAATTCTCCAGAAGATCTTTTCCAAATAGTTCTACTAAAAACCAAACAAACCTCAAAGCTTTGCATAATAATGGCAGATCATTTAACTGCTGTATGAAACTTTACCTTGGTTCTTGGGAGAATTGGTAGGTGTGTTTTGAGTCTTTTGCTGTGCTGCAGAATTTGTACTCACATTCCCTTTTTTCTTTAGACCAGCTTGTACATTTTGCTCATTACACCCTTTTCCTGTTGTTTTTTTTGTCAGACTGCAAAGAAATCATTACACCCATTATTTCCAAGCTTAGATCTAACAATGTTTAATTATTTTAAAGAAGAAATATATGTTTTAATGTGCACATATATATCTAAACATTGAAAATGCAACCTAAAAAGTAAACTTTTTGAAAATAAAAATTAAATATATATCTATATTTTTAATTTATATACAAACATGCATATCACTTCAGCTGTCTCCTGTCCAGCTTAATCGAAACTATTTCAGAAATGGTACATTTACAACACCTTGTGTAGTCATTGACTGTTCCAGTATGCAGAATTCTGAATGACCTATAACAATTTTAAAATGATTAGCATGCAACAGTCCAACACAAAAGCCAAACCAATTTTATCTTTACAGCACTGTTGACAATTGCTAACTCAAAGTGTTTTGCAAATAACATCCTACAGACAAGCATTCTCAGAGTAAAAAGAACATCTAATGTTAAGTTTAATAGTTCACCTGAAACCTTTCTTCCCAAACTCATACACTCATGCACACATCTACAAAGCAGCATATTGCTTTGTAACATACCTGCTTGTTGTCACGTTAGCCTCAATCTCAGTCTTTTTTTTTTTGGTTGTGACTCCATTTGATACCTTCACAGATGCTTTTGTTTTCACTACTGTAAAGTAAATTCAAAGTTAATTGCAGGGGGAAATGCATTGTATATTAGTACTGAAAAAAATCTAGTATATGAAGATCAGTTATTGAAAAGATCATATATGCTAAAGTTGTAAAATGTTTATTGTTTTAGATGGCTATTAATTGACCATAAAGTCAGCTAACAGGGGAAGAATGTAACTTATCAATTTATAGTAGATTGTCTTAAAACTTCCCAGGCTGGTTTTCAGTGTATGACCAGCCTGAGACCAACGAGAAGAGAACTCAAAAGAAAGAATTATAAAAAATTACCACTCTGCTTTTTCCCTTCCTCTACAGATTTATCCTCTTTGGGTTCCTCTATCTGTTCACCCACAGTCTGGATATCCATGTCTGAATTTGCTGACTTGCTGGAAGTTGCTGCCACAGTCACCAAGGAGGGAGATTCCTTCCCTGAGGTTTTTTTCAATGGCTTTGTTTTGTTCTGTGTGCTTGAGGTTACTGTCAGCACTTTAGGTCTGGCACCTGCAATTTTTCCTTCATGATTCTTTAGTCCTTTGCTGCTTCCTGAATTTTTTTGTCCACTTGCAGATGATGTCTTTTCTGTATCTTGCTTGGTAAGCATGCTTTCAGCCTTCAGATTTCCATTATTTTCTATTTTTGTCTTTATAACGGCTCTAGCCTTTGGCAAAGCAGCTTTTTCCCCAGGTTTGGAATCCTTAGTAATCTTGGAAACTAACTTTTTGCCATCTTTCCCCTTTACATCCTCATGCTTTGAAGTCTTATTAACAGTGTTTCTATTGGTGGATGCATGTCCAGATGCTCCTAATCCATCAGATTTCATTTTATCCTGATTAGTGGAAGAATCTCCCCAGCAATGTTTCTTGCTGTGTTCTGCCCAGGAAGTATTCCTTGTACCAACAGATGCAGTAGTAGCTTTATTTAGCTAGGGAAAAAAAATGGCATCAGAAAAAAACCCCAAACAAAACATTTGTAACAGCAAATATCCATAATCCTTAATTTCTGAAACACATATACTTTTAAAATAGAAAATGAATCTAAAGCAACAAGATTTAACATAGAAATAAATTTACATATAGATATATATATATATATATACATACACACACATATTTTAGCTCAGTTTGCTGGCTTTCAAGAATATTAAAGTACTTCTCTATGTAGAGGTGACAGAAATGCCTGAATTTCACTTTTATTTTGGACAAAGTACTGTAATGTTTACCAATTTATATTATTAGTGTCTGCTTAAGTAAGAAGAATTTTTTGAGTTATTGAGGGCACTAATAATTTTTTTTCAGAGCAGAGAGTGTAACAGACTCAGTGTTGTGGTGGCTTGTAATAATAGCAGAGGTTCATTAGCTCAGTAGCAAACCATGTGCTCTGGGAAGCAGATGAGTTTCATTATGTAGCAAGAGAGGAATGTGAGGTGCTGAACACAAATTCCTGCCTTTTATTTGAGCTTATCTGTTTGAAAATGTCGCAGAACACAGTCTGAGTCCTAAGATGTTTCCAGTAATCAACATTACTGATCCTGCAGAAACAGTTTACAAGAAAATACAGATTTTTCAAAAATAAGTTCTATTAAGCAATATGAAAAATAAGTATTAATTTAAAAAAACAATGGAAATAGTTTTGTTTGCGATTATCTGAATGTTTAAATGTTTGGATATAAATGCTTACCTGAGAACTGGTGAATACAGGTTTTTTGCCAAGTCTTCGGTCATCACCCTTGTCAAATGCAGCTGTAAAAGGAACAAGCAGTTTCTTCACTGTTTGGCAGGAAAGAAGGGGGACAGAAATCAAGCCAGCCTACTCACTTAACATCATGTGAAATCAGAAAGCACTTCTTTGGGTCCTGACTTACTTTAGAAAGGCTAATTTTGGTGACATGGCAAATGTTAAGTGGAAATACATGGTTTTACATTTGGAACAAAAAAAAGTGGGATCTGTAATGACATCACATGCCATAAGCAAGTTACTTAACTCTTCTGTTTCCCCATGTCCATAGTGAGACTTTTGTTTATCCAAGCTCAATTCATTTAATGCTAGCAGTGCACTGAGACCTTTGAAAGTGTACAAAATTTACAAAAAGATACCTTCAAATTTAGAGTACTAATAGCTTTTAAGTGTATTGTTAATTATAAGTTATTTATTTATACTACATAAAGATTAATTGCATTACAGTAAATGATATTAGTTTTCAAAATTAGCAAAGCCAAAATACTTAAATGTACACATTAAGGTCATAGTGCCTCTTCAGATAGCATGCAGCATAATGTCATGAGAATTATTCCTGTGATTGTCATGTGGAGTTTTCAGGCAGTGAATGCCTTTTTTTTGTCTGATGTACTCTGGAAGGAAAGCAGTTTTCAACAAAGCTTTTAAATCAATTGCACTTGTAGAATACAAAAGAGATATTTATATACACTGCACAGGCCCAAAATGAATAGCTTTCATTTATGTCTGTATTCATATTTCAGCTGGAAAAAAGGTTTTGCAAAAAATGTATTAAAAATTTAGGCATTCAGTGCCTCATGTTCTGAGGTACTATACATAGAAACATTTTTTGTATGTATAATACAAAAATTCTGCTGAATTCTTAATAAAGATACTAAAAATAATTTTTATATAGGTCTCTAAAAATCACACAAAAGGTATGCTGAAAATGGCACCCCAGGGATCTAATCCTTTTTCTAGCAGTGACTCTGCATATTAATACATACCAATATATTAAGACAAAATCCTTATAAACTTGTGCCTAAGAAAACACAAGACAGGTTGTAAATGAAAAAAACCACAATATAATCTCTCTTATTTTGGCATTTTTCCTCCTCTGTTATAGCCTTCTAAATCTATATAGGCTATATTTCTAGGAGAAAAGCCACCACCAGAAACCTTTAAGATGAAAGTTGATCTAAGTTATCCTAGATATATTTCACCCGAGGATTAAAATTTGTCTATCAATACTGTACGATCAATACTGTACTTTGCCTGTAACTAAAACCAGATAATTCATGAAAACATTTCAACCTTTTCATATATAAAATGTATGCAACTTCAGTCAGAATTTAGCCTAAAAGAAAACAAAACAGTTTTTGGCAAGATAAGAGTTTGGAAAATCAAGACATACCTTGATTTTAAATATTTTTTTCTATTGAAAGCAATAGTATAAAGTAGCCAAACCATCATTCACAATAGAAACATGATCATCTTAAAAGTAAACCACCCCAAATCAGAACCCACCCTTTTTTCTAAAGCCAACTCCTCCACTTCTGAAGGATTTTATAATCAAGAAGAAATCCTATCCCTGTTTCACAGAGTAGTATGAGATATTATTTGACTACATCCCTAAATCATGCTTAGAAAGACTGTCACTGCATCTTTCAGCACATAATTGTAGAATAAAATTTTCATCTGCCTCTAGGCATAAACATTTTTATAACTATTATATCCTTGCTACTAAAATCTTTAATAAAAAGGACATTAAATGTTCACGTCTCCTTTGAATCAAAAGTGATTTGAATTCAGAGAAGTATTTAACATCCTTTTCTTTTACAACACTGTACTGTCAAAGCTAATATTAAACCATAACCTGAACTCCATCATCAGCTCCACATCCTCTGAATCCTCGTGTACTTCAAAACAAAGGAGCATTCAGAACAAAAACTCGTTTTTGTTGGAAGTGCTGCCTGTTAAAATGTTGAGAGCACACCATGCAGCTCCTTGGGGGCTCTCTGCAGCAGCACACACAGGATCACAATGCCAGCCAGCCAGGAGCCCAGCTATCTGCATTTGCTCACAGTGCACAGGCTGAGCATTATGCAAGAGACGAGCAATATTTATACAGCATGGAGAAAATGATAAAGGGCAGGAGCGGAATTCATGGAACAGATAATCTGCTTTGTGCAAATTGAATTCATCCACAGCTCTTATCTCCTTAAAAACGAGGCAGATCAGGTTTTTAATCCCACTGCAGTGTTTTCAGTAATTTAGAGTCGCTGTAAATAAGAACAGAATCCATCTACATGATGGTAGGGGTGGGGGCCTTCTATCATATATACTCCTAAAAAGAAAAGCAGGGAAAACTCTTCACAGAAAATGACTTAGTGATTCCCATGTCTGAAACTAGCTTAGGCATGCTATCATGCTTCTATTCTAAAACACCACTTCAAAACACAAAGAAGCACAAATTTTGCTTTAATTTGTATCAGGCTCCACAATTCCATCTGCAATGTATCCACTAAACAGATTGCTAAAAAATTCTAATGTCGTTTGATGCCAGACATACCTGCTTGTATTTTCTGTTGATGGTCTGGCCTCATCAGCTTCCAGCCCTCTGTGTGACGAACAGCATAAAAAGACTGAACCAGGAAGAGCCAGAGCTTATCACGCAGCGCCTGGATCTTGCACGTAAAACCCTGTGTTCGAGTAACAAATCAGCAGCTGGCGAGGGGCATATTGTCATAGCAACCAGTCATTATTCCTTTCAGAATCTACTTACTCCCTAAGCTAGATCAATGATGTCATCACTTATATTTTATAACGGTCTGGTAGATGGAGATACTGGTTTTGAAGGATTATTGCCCACCACCGTGATTTTTTCTATAGTTTAAAACCTACAAATTACAGCACTGGTAAACATTACATTGCACTCATTGCTCTTTTTTTTCCTTTTCTTTTTTTTTTTTTAAATGAACCCCATAATAGCTCTTCACTGTCAGCTGTGTCACAACAAGGTCAAATACTCCAGGGAAAAATAATGTATTTGATTAAATTTTCATTGCTTTGACCAAGTAAATCTATAATAGCACCAGATTGTACTAATTAATGTTTCATTTATTTTTTATTCTTTGTCATACTATTTATGAATTGTTCCCAGCATTAGTCAACCACAGCTTAAATGTCATTATTTAGACTGTGTGAATATACACGATATGTTACACACATGGAGCCTGACACCTCCACCCAATCCAAAAAACACACACTGGATTAAGTGTTAGTCCTTGCTTTAGAGGATAGTTTAAACAAAAGCAAATGTACCTGTGGCCTTCACAAAGAGCGGGGGAAATATTTAGGGAGGAAGACAATAAGCTCTCTTCCCCTGTAGGTTTCAGGTAATGCAACATTTTGCTAAGTTTTTCTCTTATCACAAATTTAAAGTGATAGTAAAGATCAATAGGGAAATGCTGCCCATAGGACTTACATTTTCAGTAATACATGGGAATTTTTTGATTGCCAGGATGGGGTTTCTTTTTAAAGTAAACAAATGCCAACATTTTCAGTGCTTCCAAAAGGACCTTGGATTTATGCAGATGCTTTTCTGTATGACGCCAGTTACATGACTGAGCATCTGAGCTCACACCGTATCATCTGATTTGAACCATGACATGAAACTGTACCAGAACAGTTTTTCTACAAATACTGCACTGAAGAACCTACCATCTCTTTCACATTTGTGGAGTCCAGCAACATATCGACTGCTACAAGAAGAAAGCAGCTATTTTCATTATTAATGCTTTTTTCAATTGCATTGAAAATTAGTTCTAGAAGATCAGGTTCACTGCTCATTGCCTGTGCCTGAGGAAACAACAAAAGAGAGTCGTTTAAAACAAAAGCGTGTACTTTGTATGCGAAAACATTACTGAGCAGAGAGGATCTGCTATCAAGCTGTGCAGGAGGTATTCCAAAGCTGAGCATCTTCTTTTATATCCATTCTGTAACCCCACCCCTCTCTAGCAAATTATCCTAAGGCCTCGCTCATTTACAGAGATTTTAGGAACAAGCACACTGATGCATTTACAGCTCCGTGCAGCTCAGGATCCAAAGGCAAACAGTGTTTTGACATTTCCCTCTTTCTTTTTTTCACTCCTCTGTACATATTAAAAACCATATTTCACAGGAGAAATGAACTGGCTGGATGACTAGGTAAGCTCACACCAGAACCTGCAGCATTGCCACACTGGTGCAACTTGCAACACAAATCAGTAGAATTTGAGTCCACTGCTCATGTTCATAATCTTGTAAATCAACGCTGTTACTCCAGGGGTCTGAAAGCTTTTTTGAAACTGGTATCTATACTTTTTGCAACACAGAAACTTCCCTCTAAATCAATTGCAACTTTTGCTTAACTGAAGCACGTAACCTGAACGAAGTACTAGCCCTGTGTATCAAAGCATTTACATGCTTTAAAACAAACCTGAAAAAACCTACCTCCCCAAAAATCTTAGCACTGCCCAAGTTTGGTTTTTTGGTTTGTTTTTTCCATAGAACTGTACTTCAAAGAAAAGCTGAAACTATTTTGGTAACTTAGCAGCCTAAACTTTACAAAATGTGATATAATTCAATTTATTTGAAAGCATATAAGAACTTGAGGGCACTTTACCTGCAACAAAACAGAGAAGCCTTCATTTTGTACTACGTGTAGGAAGTTTGCAACAATAAAGGTTACACATTCCTCATGCAGCCGTGATGCCAAGGCCACAGCTGCCTCTGTCCATTTCACTCGGGGAAGGCTATTGATCAGCCGGTCACTCTCCATCAGACGGGAAGCTGCATTCTTGTGGTTCTTGAAACAGAAACAGAAATTAGCCTGTTGCCAAGCAATTACCTCAAGAATTGCTGATTGTAAAATAGCGTCTGTTCAGATACTAAGCTTTTACACAAGGATCCAACTATGCCATTATTTCCCCTAATTAAATAAATTTTGGGGTTTATACTTCTTAATATTATACATGCCTTTGAACCTAAAGCAGAAAAAGAAATCTGAAGTTAGGTAGTAGTTTTCAATAGCTTTTATTACATTTTTTCGACTCTGTCATTATACTGCAGTCCTGAAGAAAATAAGGCAAATGTTAGCTGGAGAAGCTGAATAGAGAAAAAGATCACAGGTCACTGAAAGATGTAATAAATTCTTGAATAAAACTGTTAAGTTGAGGTTTTAGGTGAGTGTGGATGGCCTAGCATTCAGGATAAAGACAAAACTTTTTTTGTAATTATGAATCCTTTTGCTTTATTTAAAGGAGTCAGACAACAAATATTTGTCTTCCCAGACGGAGTTTTAACTGAACTTACTCTCTTTGTTGTGTAAAGTTTCTCAAAGAAAAGTAACTGTTACATTTCTAGTTACATTTCACACATACAAACAGATTTGAGAATATTTATTATCCTCATCTGTGTCTTTGGTTTTTCATGCACTGCATCAGCACAGTACCTGAGGGCAACTTCTACTGGCTAACACATCACTTGAAAAGAACTTGGAATTTATGGTTATCCACATTAGAATGGCCTGAAAGCTCTATTCAACATGAACTAGCAGGACACTGATAAATTATGCATTAACACTTGAAAAAGCAACATTTCAGATAAATATTTGACACAAAAACACCTACTGCAAATTCAGATCACAATCACATTTGTCCTATGCAAGTTAGAAAGCAGCGAGTACCTTCTTTGTGCATATTATAGTTAAAAGAGAAAATCTGACCGTGCATTGTTAAAATATATTTTAAAATTATTTTACTCATCTCTGGGCAAACTCAGTTTGCTTCTCTGCAGATCATGTAAATTAACAATTACATATATGCTTATGGTTTGATTTTGCTCCCAATGGACTCAATTACAAGCTTTTTGAATTGTCTCGAATTCAACCCCTGCTCACAAGGCAATAAGCATTTACTCCCATTAGACACTTCCAGTGAAATATTAAATGCCTTCATTGACTTCTAATTAAATCAGCACTTTGTAGAAGTGGTTCTAACTGAATTTTACTTCTCTTACTGTACTTTTTTCCTAACCATTTTAAAGTAGAGTCCACTTTAATTATCTAAAACCAGTAATTTTCTTGCATGAAGTTGAGACATCAGGGATATACACACATAAAGCACCTGGGCAGTGCTTTAAATAGCACTTCCATTTTAATGTTTCTCTGTTCATCATTGTGGTTTCCTGGGGATTTTCCCACCAACAATCTCCTTTTCTTTGCATCTTTTTTGTCCTCTAAAGGGCTGTCACGTTAACTAGGTTTTACACTTCTAGCATCAGTAAATGAAAGGATCAGCAGAATTATATTGTTTAACTGGGTATAACTGTTAAAAGTTTTACAGCAGAGAACTCTAGCAGCAGAGAAAAAGGACTGTAAATCATACAACAGCCCCTGCAAAATTAATGTCAGACCTTTTCTTCTTCATCCCTCAAGCAGGCTTAAAGCATTTTTGCAGATTGTGAAAAACTCCCCTGGGAATTCCACAAGTTTTTGGAATGGGTGTCTTAAACACTGAAAGGAATGCTCACCAGAAGCATTCTCTGGGCAGAACAGGCTTATGCTTTATTGTTTAATTTTGTAACTCTAGATGCTTTCAAGACTTCAGTCCATAAAATACCAGTGAATCTTGCCAAGACACACCAACACAAATTTTAAATCATTAATATGGGAAGTAAAACCCATTTTAGTACAAAGAGCAAAAACCTTCCAGAGAAGCTGGGTACACAACAGGGCAGTACCAAGTACCACAGTGCCATGACTGTTCTGCAAATGCTGGCAAGGTAGCAAATGTATTTCAACACAAACTGTATCCACAGCATCTTTATTTACTAGAATAAGGGGAAGGAAGGCCTGAACATTTACCTTTCACCTGTCCCAATAATGTTGCACAGGGACCTAGAGAAGAAGCTAAAACTGTGTCTACTTATGCTCATAGCTACAGTACACACCTGAGGTAGTCTGGAGTGGCAAGTGGGTGGTGGTTTAACTATGAACAGCTGTAGATCAGAATGAACTGATCTAGATCTGAAAATGTTACTTAAAACTTCTCAAGTTTTATGCAATGTATGACACACACATTGCTATGTATATATTCTAGGAACAATACAATACAATATAGTGGCAGAACACCCAGCATCTTGAGATTAACTAGACATATTCCTGATATCTAATATATTCCATGTATTATAACTGCCATCTTTGTTCTGTTAGGTTTATGCATTGTGGTAGAACTGTTGAGGTTTTATAACTATGCATATTCTCAAGCTTCTCTTGATTGCAGAATCACAGCTGAGCTGGAGGGTACCCTCAGGGATCATCGAGTCCAACTCCTGGCCGTGCACAGCACTGTCCCCAAGAGTCACACCATGTGCCTGAGAGCATTGTCCAAACACTTCTTGAACTCTGTCAGGTTGGTGCTGTGACCACTGCCCTGGGGAGCTCTTCCAGTGCCCAAACACCCCCTGGGGGAAGAACCTTTACCTGCTATCTAACGTAAAGGCACTTAGCCCTGAAATCTGTCCTTTTTCAGGCCTTCACTTGAATATGCAGTTGCAACTGCCACTCCTAACTGACCTGCTGGCCTCAGCACTTTAAGTGCTTCTTCACACAAGTCCTGAAAAACCAGTCCCAAAAAGGCTTCACAGTCCTTTCAGCAAGGAGTAGTTGTTGGCCAGAACCATTCCAGAGTGCAACTGTTGAACCAGAGCTATGTTTGACAGTGTGCATGGCCACACTGGAGCTATTTAGTTTGGCTAACACAGTAACATAGACATGGAGACAGGGACTTCAGCGTGAGATATAGGAGATGTCACACCAAAATCATGCTGTGAATGTTACCTGAGCTAGTTAGATTACATTTTGTCTGTGACAATCCACATTAGAACTACCTACATAGACAGTCATGGTTGGCAGCAGCTCTACAGATTTACCTTTATTTCTACATACTTTTCATGTATCTGTTACAATTCAGCATGTTTACAGGCTGAGTACTTCACCGAATTTCTGTTAACAGGTCTAGTTCAAATCAGTTACCTTAAGTCTGCTCTGAGCACAGCTTTATCCAGAAATACAATTAGAAAATACTTAAATTTAGGCAGGTCTAAATTAGAACAATGTAAGTAAGTGCCACAAAAAATGAAAGCTGAGCTTTGGGGGGGACCAGTGTAGTACTATCTGAGAAGTAAGAGATATGGATACTATAGTGCTACTTTATTTTTGCAAAGCCAGTCTGCCTGTAAACAAATAGTCAGTGGCCACCTGAGGTCTGAAAAAAAAGGTCAATTTTTTCCAAATTAGAATACAGGTAAAGATGAAAAGGCAATCACAAATGATGTATGCTACCATGTAACACAGAAATTGATACAGTGATCTCCTGTTCCTCACTATCCAAATATATAATCAGAGAATCAGAGGATGGCCTGGGTTGAAAGGGACCTTACAGGCCCTCTAATCCTAGCCTCATTGCTGGATTTCCACTAGACCAGGTTTCTCAAAGCCCCATCCAATCTGGCCTTGAACACTTCCATAATGTTGCACTATGATGTCCAGCTGTGTTTCATCAACATATTTTCTATTATTATGGAGGACTGTGTGTCATGAAGCATAACAATGACATTTCACATCAAAATAGTTTTAAAAATTGTTATTTTAATTGGAACTTTTACATAGTATAAATGTACTACAGATTTAAGATACTGCATTTATTATCTCTTAAATTACATTGTACAGCTAAATAAGGAAAGAATTTGCATTGCTGTATTTTTATACAAAGCACACTACTTACCAAAGAGTTAATCAACATAACAAGACAATTGTTCTGAAGTTCAGTAGGTAAATTGGCAAAGCTTTTCTCTGAAACATCTTGCAAAATGTTTTCCTACCCATCTGTTGAAAAGAGAGCCATTCTTAGGTAAGGAAGATGAAAAATGTTCTATCTTCACTTGCTAGCATAAGTGATATCTCTAAAGTATTGTGAAGAAAAAACGTTTAAAATGCAAATGTTTCATATGCCAAAATAGACCCTATCTTGCAAAATAAAATAATTTCAACATAAATAAATTAAAGAAAAACTAAAAACAATTTTATTTTATTTTACTTACTTCAAGCAAGCAGCATATAGATTTTCCACTCCCAATGAATGAGCAATAGCCATGCATTCCAGGACAGGCTGCTGTTTGCCAGGAACAGGCTAGAGTTGTTAGAAAATCATCACAATTACTGTATATTCTGAATTACAGAAACCATACAAAAGTACAAAATCTTCAGTTCAAAGATTCAGAAGTAATGTCAGCTGCCACTCTAAGTTTGTTTGCCTCTATGCAGTCATCTATTTCCACATGTCAGTAAAGTAGGATTCTGCCCCATGAGCCTAATGCTTGAAAATGCTCAGCTCTAAGCAGGTGCTTGTTTTTAAACCAATTTTAATTGAACAGACTTTTTTTCTAAATATATGCCCATGAAACAAGATATGCAAATATATAGCCTTTCCACATGCCCACCAAGAACAGTTACATTTACAATAGCACATATTAAACTATACTCAGTGTAATTTAATATATGGAATTAATCATGTAGAATACTGCTTTTAATCAGCTGGGTTTCCAAGTATCTATAAACAGTGGATGAGATCACAGACCTTACTCCCACCATCTACCCCAGGTTCACACCTGAGAACGGGGACTGTTGACTTCAGCCAACACCTTGATCAAGTACTTCTTACATATCTTGTCACTAGGATTAATGTTAAGTCATAGATTTGAAATTCTCAGGCTCTGTACTCACGTGAGAAGTGACGTACCTTTTGGAAGAAATTGCAGTAATCTCTTTTCAAAATGTAGATAGCTACTTCCTTTAATCCATCCAGCCCATACATGTCTGCAATGCCCAACATGCGACTAAAGAGAGAGCAGCAGTGACAGCAATCAAACAATCCTTGTGATACATATGTGTGCATATATATATATGTGATATATTTTCCTTACAGGACAATTTACATGCTAACTTCACTTCTTGTTTCAGTCAGAATTTACTGCAGAAAGAGACTGATAACCAAGTGTGACACTTGCCAAAGAATAATCTTCAAAGCAGAAATATATTGACCTATTGATAATCTCCCAGCCATCAAGTTCAGCCTGTATAAAAACAAGCCTCTGTCACTAGCTGAGAAACTGTTTACAAGACTCTCAGTTTCTCCATTTTAAGGATATCAAATGAAAAAATACTTGTGCCAGCAGAGTACCAGAATTTTTCCAGTGATTACAGAAAATGTTATTGATGGCATTCTTAAAAAGCAGAGCGAGCAAACTATTAATTATTTTATATATTAATACCGTAATTTTATTTTCTACATCAATTCCTTAGCTAAACACTGATATTGGGACGTACTATAAACAGCTCCATATTTTTAGGAAATTGTAGCATTTCAGTCTTTACTGGCAGAGTTTGTCACCTAATATATATATGATTTCAGAAGATAATTCACAAATTTCAGAATTTACTTCACTAATACATGATTATGTATAAAACTGTGATTAAAAACTACTCCAGAAGAAAATGCCGACATTTACATTGGTTCCTATATCACCTTTCATGGATCTGAGACTAACTACTTAGCCTTCTCATCACCTCAGTAATTATTCAAAATTTAAAATTTAAATTTAAAATATTAGCTGTTATATACTATCACACATTGTATATATTATCACATAATATATCACATGTATTATTCTGAAAACTAAAAGGAAGGTACAGGCAAATTGAGAATTATTTTGGTATAAAACATCATCCTGCTTTTCACTCTCACAGAGTACTCCAAAACCTGCTGGCACACCTTTTCCAATAGATGTCAAAAAAATAAGATTTCTTCAACAGCTTTATTTTTGGAGTTTTCCTTTTGACTTTTAATTGAGAAAATATAGAACAAGCAAACAAGCACAAACTAAAAGAAAAAAATAATAAAATTTTACATATACCCAACATCAACTTCCTCTGGAAAGTCCAAAATAGCTCCATATATAAAATGCAAGACCACATTCATTTCTGTATGGCTTATGCTGCAAAAAAGAATTCAAAAATACAAATAAAGACATGCCCGTAATAAAATGCATCACATTTCTTAGCCAAAGAAGTTGGTCAAAAAGCTGATACATCATCCAGCTGCTCTGTGAATGGAAGGCAAATGATTGATAAAATTAAAGCAATGAGATTTTGCAATGCAAAGCTATCTAAATTGACTACACTGGGGGTGAATTTAGGTACTCAACAGACTTGCTGAAACTTTCTAACACTTTAGATCTTTAAAAATAAGTAATAAGCGGACTAATATTAATAACTATATTATTTGTACTGATAATATGGAAGAAGGATGTTTTCACCATGGCCAAGCTCTTAACTAGCAATAACTATCAAGTAACTATCTATTTTTAAATTGTTTTATTATAATAATTACTCTAAGTCTCTATTTTATGATTTGTTTTTGCAACACTAAAAATACATTTAATAGTTTTATTACAATGCTAAGTAGAAATGTTACTCAGAATAGTCAGAAAGTCTTTATTCAGATTAAGGAAGCTGGCTGTCCTTCCCAGCAGTGTTTGCATCTTTTCACAGTCCCAGCATCCAAATGCAGAGAGGCACAGAGTGCCTCAGTGATGGACATGACCTGAGCAACACTTCCTTGTCCATACATTCTTGTGTGCAATCTTCAGCACCCACAAATGCTGTGTGCATTAGTGTAAATGGAATATTCATGCAGAGCTAAGACCCTTTAAAACATTAGACATGTTTAAGCAATTGACACTGATGACTAAAATCCAAAGGAAAAAATCCAGTATTGCAACATGCAAAGAAGCAAAATCAGCACAGCTGTCTCCCTGTATAGCAGTACACACAACAGCCATGAAGTCAGAGACAAGGAGTTTCCCCACAGTCTTGACAGCTGTTACCTTAAGCAGAATTTTCATTATTTCAGAATAAGCCATATGTACTTCATTTATAAATGTTGTAGAAGACAGCAAAGAAACCAGCACTAAGCAGAAAAGTGAACTGGAAAAGGTAAACTATGCATACAACTCATAATAACAGAAATTATGAGACAGTGGCATGAGAATAGTCTCATATAAGGATTTAGTACTTCTCAAGAGAATGCCTGTAGTGAAAAATAAGGATGAAAATTTCTTAACCACAGAGAAATCGATTACAAAGAGAGAAGTGTAAACACCAGAGTAATTGGTGATTATCAGCCTCTAAAACACCATAAAAATGAAGGAATAAATTAAATTGCAAGTATATTGTTTTATAAGGATTTGGAAGTTATAACTAAATCAACAGATAACCTTTCTGATTTTGCAGCAGCATTATTGCACTGACAGGAAACTAAAATGAGCATTTAAGAAAGTATCACTTGGCCAAGAGATTTTATATTAACACATACAGTGCTGCAAAGTGTAACTGCTAAGGGACACAGTTCTTTCTGAAGAAAACTGAGTCAGCCAACATCATGCCTGAGAAAAAAGCTAACATGTACACGGATCAGTAGTCCTTGGCTTTTAAAGGAAATTGAATGTACTTTACAATAGAGTTTTCTCATACTGAAAAGAACGAACCTGGCAGTCCCCCGCTTATCTATGAAGTCTTAAGTATTCATCCTACAGTGACAGCTCCATTATTCTCACACAAAAAGCCATGGCAAACAAGCCCACTAGATAAAATTGATTTAGTATATGCTGCTGGAATATCATAATTAAACACTATTTAGGAAATGTTATTTATCTTTACATTGTAAATATACTTATTGTACAAATAAGTATGAAAATTAAGTTGTTCAGACACTCACAGTATTTTTCATGACATGTACAACAAGAAGTGAAAGAGAAGAATTCTCAAGTAGATTGTGAATATTAAAACATACTCTACACACAAAGATTAGTGCCCTTCTGCTGATGAAAAAGACTTTTCTGAATCATCTGACAATATTAACAAATACACTACACACAGAGTTTCATCCTGAAGTCAAAACAGCACTCAGAAAATGTATCAGGCTGGAGAAAAGTGTCAAGGCACATTAATCTTCAGCGCTCAGTACACAGCACAGTTGTTACATATTTGCAGTGATTGTAAATTGCCTACCTTTGCTCCCACACGACTTGCAGAGACAACACTTACCCTTGAAGAGTGATGTGCTCTTGAGAGCTTTCAGCCCAGCTTCCACTCAGCATAGCAGCAAAGTAACTAGATCTGGCACATAAAATGGCCCTGAGAGAGAAAAAGTAAACATTATTCCAATACACACAAATATTCATGATGAGACTCTTTGATAACGTTGACTTAAATCTTTGCCCTTTATGCATTAAGGTGTCAGTGGTGTACTGCATGCCTTTTCTCCCAGTATGTTTGGAATTTCAAAATATGCTACAGAAAAAAACCAAACAGTACTCTATAAATTTTTCAGTTAAGGCTTCTTTTTAGTATGACTTTGACATTCACACAGAGGAAATCGATTATCACAAACATCTTCCTTTATACAAAAATTTCACATTTATTTCTCCTATTTTATTTACCAAATAAGAGTAAATAACAGAGTTATTAAATAAATAGTTTATACAGCCCCATTATAAAGAATTATATCCTGAATATCTTAAATTCTTCTTATATTACAAAATGTGTATTTATCAAAATGGTAAGTATGTAATGTCTTGTATTCAGAATTTTCTACCTACCAAAAGTCAAACAAAACATGCTAATATATGCTGGGACAAATATGTGTTTTTACAACAGGAGCTGTCAGTTACTTCTGTTTACATTTACTGTCTTTCAATATTTAAAAGGCATAAATGCCCATAACAGGGCTAATTCAATTTACTACTACTTCCATAAAAGAGAATAAAGAAACCCCAGAGCTGCAGTCTGTGTAGCTCAGTATCTCTACCAGTCTCAGTCTTCAAAATATCAGTTAAGAAGACCTTTGCAAAAGGACTCTTAAGGTGGAAGTGCAGAGGCAAAGAGGAAGACAGTGGATGAAAACTGCTTTGTGGTTTCAGTTTTCCAGATCCACACCAGTTATAGGGTTAGCCTTTATGTATCTTAATAGATAATATTCTCATACATAGAATTTTTTCATTACACTTGCTAAGCTTCCTATTATTTATAAAATTAGCTTATGTCATGTGTTTCCTGTGTCAGAAAAAGCAAAAGGTTATACTAGGCATGAGAATCCTGTTACATGTATTTGTTGTCTCTCAAAATGTTTCTGAGCACTCTCATTTTGCGTAGGAAGAAGCATGAAGAATACTATTTATGGTCTCTTTTCTAGTCATTTTATATTCTGTATTCTCTCATCTCACTCCTCCTGCTTCAGAAGTCTCAATACTTTAAAATTAGAAACTTCTTACACATTCCTCCTGTGAGTCATCCAGCAAAAATAATAACAATGAAGCTTTTACTGAATGTTTCATATGTCAGTGAAATACGTCCACATATAAACGGGCATTACATCCTAACTTAAAGTGTCTGAAATTCTGGGTACACACACAATCTCTTTTTTGTAAGATAAAATAACACAACATCATAGAGATATGGAATACACTTATCTCCAGTTTTTTATTCTGTTTCAAATAGATTTTAGTAATGAACAGTGATCAATCGACTTCAAGGGCATAGTTAGAGTGGATTTTTAAAACAGTCATTTTAAATAAGACAGGTATTCAGCAGAATATGGACAAGTATGCAGTACCAAAATTTAAATTTTATCAGCATGTAATTATAAAATATATGAAGATACCAAATTATTTTGAAATAATTTTACCTGTGCTTTCCTACAGTGATGGTTAGTGCCAGTTTTATTACCAAACAAATCTGTCTTGCTTCATGCAGACCTCTGCAGGAATGCAACACTGGGAAGACACAAACCAGCAAACACTAAAGTCTGCTGGGAGTTCACAGGAACTATTTCTATGGGAACTTCTCCCACAGTGGTGGGAGACTCTGGGGGCCTAACTACTCTCCTGTTTGAGAACTTAAAAAAGTGACCCTTACACAAAGTAAATAATTCTGGTGCTTTCACCACAATGATAATGAAAGTTCCATTGCCATATGCCCATTGCCTCCTGCTGTTCACATGACACAGTGCTAGAACAAGCTCAAGTGCTGTGCCTGTTTCAGAACATCCTTGTTTTCTCTATGATTTCCTGCTGTATTTTTTGATGTTAGTTAAACTAGATACATAGCTTCAGGCAGTAAGTGGCCTAAATTAAATAAGATCTGCTGATAGAAGCTCTTTGTTGCACTATTTTTTTCTGCATTAAAGCATTTGTTTCTCAAACTTATTTATCTGAGAACACAATGTAGACCAGAAGAAACAAACTTTACTGTACTTCATTCTGAAAATGTAGCATATATCCAAATACTCACACAACTGTGATATATCTTCTATAAAGATATTGTAATGTCAGTAATAACTGCCCTCCCCCACCCCCCCGTTTTGTGTTGAGAAAGTACAAAAGCAATGCAGGGTTTTTATAGCCCCTCTCAATAAATATACTCAAAGGGAACAAAATACAGGCTGTCTAGTTTGCCATCTCAAATGCAAACAGATTTACATCAAAGGTACAGGGAATGGTACTGACACTTTAATTTGCTTTCCCAAGCCACAGGAGTACGATAAGCCAAAGTTCTTAAACGGTCTTGGACTTTTGGTGCAAGGCTCCTGACAATCTTTACATCTACATGACTGAAATAATGAAAGTAAAACCAGATTCTGGAGAGCCAAAACAAAAATTACTACTCTAGAAGTTTTCTGCCTATAAGGAAATTGTATTCAGCATTAATAACTGAATAGTTTACTAGAAGATTCTTTTTTTCTTTACAGAGCACAGATTATTTTTATTATTTTGTATTTCATACATATTTAAAGTCAGCAAAAAAGTATTTCCATGAGTATATACTCAATATATGAGTTTAAAGTGGCAATCTTAGATGTGCTGGAAATACAGTTGTTTTCAAAATAGTTGCTATTGATGATAAATTATATTCATTAGTATCGAAGTATAGCCACTCCACACATAAGACCTAAAAGCTGTAACAGTTCACAGGGAACAGCACCAGCAATAACTTCCTGTAGATATAGAGTAACAGCAGCATTTTATACCAGATGGTTATTGATAGAAAAAATCTTTACTGTAAATACTTATGTACCTGTGAGCTTGAAAATCTTTGCCTTCTACGCAAATATTAATATCTGGACAACAGCACTGCTTGTAGAGCCTCAGTAAGTCTTCTCCTAACACAGATGCAGTTTCTACTTTGGAATTACCTGCATATAGGGAGAAAAAGCTGTTTTCACTTTGTCAGGTATACAAGAGACTACTGACAGCACACAGACAAAATATTTGAAAAGAATCTGACATAATTAAATTTCTTCTTGCTGCATATTCAAGCTAGGATTTTCCTTGAAAAGTTTTCCAAACATTACTTTTTACTTATTTTGACTGATCAGAAACTTGACCAATGCTCCCTACTTGGTATCTACAGAAGAAATGCTACAGTTACTCTTTCATAAGATTATGCACCCAGTTCATTTTTTCTGCAGAGGTCTGGAACCTCTGCACTGCAGAGGAGTGTTGCCTGAGGAAGTCTGGGGTCATGCAGTGCTCCAGGCCTCCCCCAGAACAGAACTGCTGCTTGAGCCTGTGTCACTGACACGGCTGTTGCAGCCTGCACCTCTGGGGAAGACGCAGTTCAACATTTCCTTGTATTATTTCATTCAGAGCTGTAGTATGGAAGATCCTGAAAGGTTCCAGAAGCCTTACAGAACAACAGTGGAACCAGTGCAATTTGCTAGGAAAGGAGAACAAGACAAATACTCTGCTGTAGTTCCACATGGTGAGAAGTGAAGATCACTGTATTCCAGGAAAAAGACAGGACATGGTGATGACCATGCCTGATGCCTGGCAATTCCAGATTTATTACACCACCCATTGGCTGGGAATTGTGCCTGCCTAACTTCTGCAGCAATTTATTTCTTCAAAGGGTGAGGTAATGAGGTGGGCCAGAGAAAAGAATATCCATGACAGCTCTGCTCTAACAACAGCTTTAACTTTGTCTGCATTTTTACAACTGAAGAAGCATTTGAACAATTATTTAAAAGACAAAAAGAGAAAAAAAAGTGTAATTCCAAACCTACCTGCAGTGGTTTTGTCGCTTTCTGCATCAATTACTACTTGTGGAATTTCTTCCTCAATACCAGACAAACAACCAACTTCTTTCTGCACAGCTCCACTTGGAGTATTCTGATCAACTGGTGTTAGTTTGCTTTGTCCAAGACAATTTACATTTTTTTGAGCGTTCTGAAGAGTAGTGGTGTTGCTTTCTTGTATTTTCCTCACAAACAGCTCCTCAATTTCTTTAAGATTTATATCAGATGAATATAGAATCCTAAAAGATGACACTAATCTTTACTCCCGTAATTTTTCAATTGAAGAAAACAAAGAATTACATTTTTTTCATCTAACAAAATTGACAACCAGAAAATAAAGAGTTGGACTCTCTAGTGCTTAAAAAACCCCCAACTTTAAAAAAAAGAAGTATCTCTGAAAAACTTACTTCTGCAATTGCATGAAAAGCATAAAGAAGCACCACAAAATATCAAAACCTTCTAACATCAAGGTTACAGTAAAAAAATCATAAAAATTGTATAGAGATACAAATGAATTGGAGAAATACATTTTAATTTCAAAGGAAGCACTTAAGGCACAAAACTTTGCAGTTAAGATTACCCAAAAACTTTCACTTTGCCCATCTAGTAATTCCAGCTTCCCACTTTCCCATCTGTTTCACCAGCTTATTTTTGGCTCAGGATCTGGAAAGGCTAACAAAGCCTGCAGTCTGTGACTGCAAAGATCTCACATTTATAGAAACAGACTGCACTCCAGCACAGACAACATGTTTTATCATTGGTTTCATACCATCTAGATAAGTTAAGGAAGTTTAACAGAAGAGCTACAGTTCTTTGGATGTATCAGAAATACTCAGATCTGCTTTAGTCAATCACTCCGTGGCAAAGAGGCTTTTTTGTTAATTCTCAGAGAACAGTAATTTGAGTGTGTAATTTGAACACTACTCTGACAGGGAAGAGAAAACATACAAATCATCTTCCTTCTTAAGTCCTGTATTTAAAGGATTAAGATAGGTAGAATTTTTTTGTCTATGTGATACAGGTCCTTACCAGGAGAGAAGAAAAAACAAGAATGTAGGGAATGAGAATATTAATATTTTATTAAATTATGAAAGCAAGTGTCAGGAGAGGATGCAACAGGAACAATATTTCACATGGAAACAGTAAGACTGGTGGACCCTTTTAACATGTGATTTTAAGGTTGTTGTGTATGTATGTGCATTCAGAACTCCTAAGCTGTGAACTGACCATCTATTGCTCTTCATATTTAAAGTGCTTTCCACCCTAGCATAATAATAGCATGAGGGAAAGACAAGTAATAACATGCCATATTACCAAGAACAGAAGCAAAAATTGCTTGATAGAGCAGGGAGACTTGGTAATTCTTTAGAAAATTCAAGACCACAACTTCCACACATTTTTTTCCATTCACTGTGCTTCACAGTAGGTAACATCTGTGTTTTACAGCTCTAAGGCAGTAGGAATCAAGAATAGAAATTCAGAGTAGAAACTCAGTTAAGCTAGAGATTTCAAAATTTCACAGAAGTATCCTGAAGTTGTCTTCAAGTTTTTTGTCCACGTTAGACCTCTCAAGAACTCAAAGTCACATAGACAATGCCAGTACAAAAAAAAAACAACCAAAACCAACCAAACAAAAGAAAAAATCCACGAATTTGCACTCTATCCCCCCTCTTCACCAGACGTAAGCCAGTACCACAATTACACAAGTACACTGGCCTCATACTGAATGTAAACAACTGCAGAAGTCCCTTAGGAAGGGTTTGTTGAAAAAAAAAATTGCCATTGAACATGTTAGGCTAAATTTGCACTGGAACTTCTCTTATTCACCTTTCACAGAGCTTTTGCATATTTAACATGTAGACAGTACAAATTGACTTTGAGGGAGAAAGAAAATTAGCAGCAGCAGATAGAGTGTTTTGGCATAAATTAATTATTTTAATATTCTTACTTACTTTCTGTAGTAACTGAAAAACGTCCATAGGGAATCTCTTAAGCTAGGCAATGAGAGAACAATCTCCTGGGAATGCTCAGGATATTTTCAGAGAATCTACACAAGATACCTCAGGAACGCAATTAATTTTGTTATCACTAGGCTTCAGTCATTAAAAACGGCATCCTTACCACAACTAGGAACTCAGTAAATAAAAAAAAATAAAGTGGCATTTTAAACCAGAGCTAAGTAACTGGCTTCTGGATCTGAAAAAGTTAGTTTTATTTTAAGTAAGATTTTTTCCTGTAAAAAGTCAAGAAATTTTGACTCTTTCAGTTAACATTTAAAATCCAGTCACATTCCTGGATTTATTACTTCTACAAATTCAGCAGGTTATCTTAATATTAGAGTTCTACTTAATACAGAGTGTAGACTACTACTTTGAAAGAGTCATGAATGCATCCATTATTTGGCTTCACAGACAGCAAAATGATTTTAGCACATCTTTTAGAAATTTCCTTTTATCTCAGTAAATCCCGTTAGATGTTTCTGGAACAAGATTCTGCAGTTTTCTATAACCTGCTATAAAAAGTTTGCTTGGCAGCACCCTGTATTTTATAGGCTCATTTCTAAAGCAGAGTGAAGTTTTCTAGACTGTCTCCTCCAGACTACTGAAAGGTGCCTTCCTGCATAAATAAAAGCAAGGGAAATCTGGCATCCTTGGACCTTGGAGCTCAGATGGTTTAGTGATTATGTAAAACCATCTCTTCAAAGTGGTTGCTTTAAGAATCCAGAACTCTTACTGCAGAATTGTATTAGGAATAGTTTTTAAAAACTGTTCCAAACCTCTTGAGCAGGCATCATTCAATGTGCCATCCTAGCTTCCTTATCTAAAGGGCAGAAGACAACAATTCTATCAAGTTATAAATCTCTTTTTTTAAGTCAGATATAGGTGTAACATGACAAGGTGATCCCCAGAGCCTTCTCTTCTCCAGGCTGAACAACTCCAATTCCCTCACTCTGTCTTCATAGGAGAGGTGCTCCAGCCCTCTGACCAGCTTTGTTGCCCCTCTCTTGACTCATTCCAGTATGTATTCTGTATGCTGGGGGCCCCAGAGCTGGATGAGCGCTCCAGGTGGAGTCTGATGAGAGCAGAGCAGAGGGGCAGAGTCACCTCCATCCTGCTGGCCACGCTGCTTCGGGTGCAGCCCAGGCTAGGGTTGGCTGGCTGGGCTGTGAGTGCACATTGCTGGCTCATGCTGAGCATCTTCTCAACCAACCACAAGTCTCTGTGTGACCATCCAGACAATTCCTTATCCACTGAATGGTCCCTCTGTCAAATCCAAGCCTCTCAAACTGAGAGGCAAGAATGTCACAACCAGATTAACACCAAAGTATCTTCTGCATATGTGTGAAATACCATATTTTATGGTTTTACTTGAACCGTTACCACAATTAAATATCAAAATGAAACCCAAATCTATTTACTTTTATTAATAAAAATAAAACCAATACAGGAAGCCTCTGAACCACTGCATGCCCAGAATTTTAATGCACCCATTAGTTAGGTCTAGCAAACCCAACTGCAGCAAATACTCTCGTGTGCTGCATTTAATCTTGGTAGATTTGCAAAAATATTTCAGCAATGCACCTAAAGCAGCACATCTTTATTGTCTAAGTTAGGCATTTCATATGCACAACTTCAACCTACCCTAACCACTTAAGATTCTTCCATTTCCCTTTAGATTTGCTAAAGAAAAAGTCTGCTTGATTTCTGCAGTCAAGATGATTGTTTTAACTGAATGGATTTCTTGAGTTAAGTGTTTCAGTGAATTTCTTCTCATGAGATGCAACATCACCTCCTTTACTGCCTCACACAGGTGCTGATTAAATTTTCTAATTTCTTGTGAAAAGTATGCATTTCAGAACAATCTGACCCTTAAACAGTAATGGGCCCAGTGAAAGGTTTCTAACTGTTTCTCACAGTTCACATTTTTTTCTTGCTTCGGGCATAAATCCATTGCATTAAGATATTATGTTTCCAAATACACCCCTACTGAATATATTGTACGTTGACAGTTCAGCTTCTCAACTGCCTCTGAGAAACTGAGATTAGATATAAACATG